TGGGATCTACAACTGAAAGATACATGTCTGAAATTTTGTTTCAGTTTCTATAGACAACAAAACTGTACCGTTGCAATTGTTTTTTGGTAATGCTTCAGAGTACATCAAGCATGCTGATCACTATGTCCCTGTTCCTGGTGGTTCCAACAACAACAACTATGCCAATGTGGAACTCATTGTGGACATTGCCAAGAGGGTACAGGTGGATGCAGTGTGGGCCGGATGGGGCCACGCCTCGGAAAACCCCAAGCTACCCGAGATGCTCCATAAGAATGGAATTGCTTTCATCGGTGAGTCAGTTGAATTTTCAGTTGGAATAGGGTAGGGGAAAACGGTACCGAGAAAGGAAGGGACATGGGCGTTGAACCCAATTGGCGTTGAACTTGAAGAACTTCATAGAAGCTTTGAGGAAGTGTTTGGAGAAGAGATTGCTCGTATCATAAACCACCTGGATTTTGCAGAGGTTTAGCTAGGGATGGGCGGAGTCATGGCACTGGAAAACTACAGTCCACTCTCTGTTTGCACAAAACTCGAGGCCATCCAAAAGGCTTAGAATATGTCTAGCTTTTTGGATGCTGCACATTGGTGGGGTTTGAAGGTGGATTTAAAAAGATTCTTAGTAGAAAAATATGCCTAGGGAGTTACATTAGTGTTTATATATGAAAATGCCATTAATAATTAATCTGCATGTTTAATTAATCTGAATTGTTTTATTTGAATGTAATGAACCAAGCAAGTTAGACAGGTCAGAGAAATTGGAAGTGAAAGAGTTCTGTGAGGCCTTGGGGGCTTTGGAATGATAGCCACATACATATACATGTAGGCCTACCTGAGCAATTATTGAATATCCAGATCTCTTTGTTGGGGAACTTTGTTGCTTAAGTCAGTTTGAGGAGGCATTGTGGGATGAGGAGGGACGGTACTGACTCTTTGAGTTTTGGATATTTTTAACTAACTCTGATACCAGGACCATCTGAGAAGGCAATGTGGGCACTCGGGGACAAGATCGCATCATCTATTGTCGCTCAGAGCGCCAAAGTCCCGACGCTACCCTGGAGCGGTGATGACCTGCGCATCGATTGGACAGAGGAGGACGCTCGCAGTGGGTGCAACATCACCGTTCCTGACGATATCTACCAGAAAGGATGCATCAAAGATGCCGATGATGCACTGCAGGTACATTCAGATGACAGAAAATGACATTTTATCATAATAACATTTACAATAGCATCTTCGTGTGTCCAGAGCCTTTACTTACATTTAGGTGACAGCCAGTGCCTTAACACATCAGATCAGTTTTGTATTTTCCAAACAATCAAAGTCATTTCGTGGACGTTTGCAGGCTGTGTGGAAGTTGCAAAAAGTTAAGAAAACCACAGGTTCTCAAAAATGAATCTAGAATATTAAAGCAACCATTAACCCTAACAGTCCTCAGTCCTCCAACAGGTGAAGGATTGAGGACTGTTAGGGTTAAGCAGCTCTCAGTTTAATTATCAAAGATGCATGACTTTGAGGATGACTTTGAGTTTATCAGAATATTTGACAAGACAGTCGTTCATCACTTAATTCTAATATCCCGTCCTTTCTGCCTTTAAAGATTCTGAGTAATGCAAAGATAATCCCTTTTTTTTTCACAGCATGCTGAGCGCATTGGCTTCCCTGTGATGATCAAAGCGTCAGAAGGGGGCGGCGGCAAAGGCATCCGAAAGGTGGAGAGCAAGGAAGACTTTACCAGCCTGTTCCGACAGGTGCAGAATGAAGTACCGGGGTCTCCTATCTTTGTCATGAAGCTGGCTAAAAGGTCAGTGGGATTGGATCACAGTCACCAGCCCCTCAAACCCAGTCCGCTCAACTAGCCCTCCTAGTCCAGAGGACTTTGAGGACGAGGGTCATTCTGTCTTGATTGGTGCTCGGTAATAAATCATAGTCTGTTTCCCAAACCATGGCTATGTCGTTGACTTAGGCATTGTCTGAATCCAGATTTCCATCTGTAGAGATGTACATTATTGGGTTTTTTTCTGTATGTAGTGTGAGGTGGAATGGTAGACTATATCCAGCCAGAGGTGTGCATCTTTTTATTTGGTCCAGACGGGCCTGCGTGCAACTGCAATTCTGCAACTGCAATTCTGCAACTGCAGTCCAAACCAGGGATGAAGGCAGCTTCTAGAGCAGCAAAGACATTCCGGTCTCATTACATCTGGCAGTAGAAATGAGAAACCAAATGGAAACTAAACCAGTGTAGCAGAATACCCAGCTTTTGTTATAAAGTATTCTAAAAGGTCACCAAAAATGCACAGGAATTATATTGCCATCTTTGACGTCCCTGCACACTGTCAAAATTTGTTGTTTCTCAACAGTGCGAGACATTTGGAGGTTCAACTGATTGGTGACAAGTATGGCAATGCCATCTCCTTGTTTGGACGTGACTGCTCTATCCAACGTCGTCACCAGAAAATCATCGAGGAAGCCCCTGCCACAGTGGCTCAATCTCACGTCTTCAGAGAAATGGAGAAGGTTTGAATCTCACAAGATTCCAGCTTTGTTCCTGTTAATTTGGTTACCTCCATGAAAAATTTGGAAGAAAGCTTAGATCAGGCATGCAACTTTGCCTCGGATCAGCTGAAAATTTAAAAATACACCGTGGAAAGCCTTGTAAAGATTGGAATTTTCTCACTTTCTGTCAGAGCACCAAGTTGCATGCCTGTGATGACTGAGCCAGTAAGTTACGTTGAAGTACATTTGTTGATGTTCTAGATATCATACATGCTAGGAATCTTCTTTGGTTGGTCTTACTTCAGTTCAGATTGTATGCTGGCATAAGGCTGGATTGTTCAGTTGGTAATCAAATGGTCTGCTGTTCTGGGAGTCTCAGGTTTGATAACCCACTCCATGCAGTTCTTTTTCAAATAAGAATGTGGTTGAAGGTGTTAAACCTAGCTCTACTCAGTTTCATTTTGCAGTGTTTATGTACTTGATAAACTTACAGAATTTTTACTTCAGCGTGCTCATCTTCGTAGAAAAATGTGGAAAAATCAAGTTTAGAGATGAGCAAATGGAAAGACATATGAGGCTGTGTTAGAGACCGACAGACACGAACATTCCACAAAAGTCATGAATGATGTTTGACCTTCAACCCCCCCCCCAGGCTGCAGTCAAACTAGCCAGGTTGGTCGGTTACCGCAGTGCGGGTACCGTGGAGTACCTGTACAATGATCACGATGGGTCCTTCTATTTCTTGGAGTTGAACCCTCGTCTGCAAGTGGAACATCCTTGCACAGAGATGGTAGCAGGGGTCAACCTGCCCGCTCTGCAGTTACAGGTAAGAGGCACCGTTATACCCTGGTGCGGAAAATACTCAAAATACAGGTTCATGCGTACTGCCAGGTAAATGGTCATAGGACACAACATCTGTTTTCCTTGATAATACTGCAATGCTCTCATTAAGAGAAGTTCTCATAGCCAGAGGGCACATTTGAAGCTTGGTCTTGATGCGTTTCTTTGGTTCCCATGTAATCTGGTTTTTTTTATTTCCAAGGTTGCTATGGGCATTCCACTGCACAGAATGAAAGACATTCGAGTCCTGTATTCAGAGAATCCTTATGAGGACACGCCCATCGATTTTGACAAGTAAGGATTTACAGTGCCCCCTCTGCTGCCCCACCTGTTCTTCACCATCAGCAAAAGCATTCTCAATTAATTTTGAATTTTTGCCCTGCCCGACGTGTATTTTTAACACTGTATACTCAGTGTATGCCCTCGAAGGCTTGTGAAAACACCACAAGCATACTCGGGTGGGACTCGAAGCCACAACTTCCTGCTTACTAATGCAGACATCTTAACCGCTCGACCTCTGAGCTTGCTGGTGTGGGCTGGCTGGTTCGAATCAGATGTAGCAGTGGGTAACACGAACAACTAATTTCAATGATGGATACAGTGTTAAAAATACACATCGGGAAGGCCAAAAATCCAAAATTAATTTACATCTCCCCGGCGCAAATCCATCTTTGGAATTAAATAGCATTCTACTCGTCCTTGCGTGGGCCCTGTAGTAGCGGTCACAGTTAGTTCATGTGTGATGACAAGTGTATGACTGAGCTCTGTATTTTACTCAGTGCCACTGTTGGTCATACACCGAAGGCCACATTGTCACGTGCTAGTCACACTTGTGGTTGTTTGACCACAAGTTCACAAGTAACAGGACTTCCTCAGAAATTATCACAAAAGACAATAAGGCTGTGATGAATATGCATGATGTTTATATTTGCATATTTGTTTATTCATGATATTTAATTTCTCTTCCAACAGCCCATTGGTCTTACCCGAACCCAAAGGTCATGTCATCGCCTGTAGAATCACCAGTGAGAACCCTGATGAGGTGAGAACCAACCTCAAAAACATCACAAATAAGTCTTATTTAAGTGTTTTATGTTGTCTTTCTTAGGATAATTATTGAAGCTGAGCGTGGAGCAAATCTGAAGAATTATGTAATACTACCATGCTAATTTCTCACGGCCTTGTCTGACTAATACTTGCTAGTTTCACTGAAACCAAGGGAAGCTTACTCTCAGATCATGAACTTTTTAAATATGAAATTTTTTTTTATTTGAGTTGAAAGTCCTGAAAAAAGGAGCTTTGAGATCTCTGTGTACTGATGAACCTGTTAATGTCAAAAGGACTCTTTAAATGCTGAAAAATTTGTCCACGTTGAAGAGTTCAGTGACAGAAATATTCTGGAGAAGGAGAATAATGCTGAATTAACTCTGCTTTGAAGAAAGCAGGTCAAATGTGGCTACATAACAAAAGTGCCTCATGCCTAAAGCTGTCCAACAGAGGGAAAAAACTTGTATTTATCTCTGGATCATTTTTTTGGTAACTTTTCTTTTCCTGCAGGGGTTTAAGCCCAGCTCTGGCACAGTGACGGAGCTCAACTTCCAGAGTAACACCAATGTCTGGGGCTATTTCAGTGTCGCGGCATCCGGCGGTCTTCACGAGTTTGCCGATTCTCAGTTCGGACATTGCTTCTCCTGGGGCGAGGAGAGAGAAGAGGCCAGAGAGTGAGTCCAGGAATCACTTAGTGTTGTACTACAATGTGCATTCCCTCTGACTTGTTTTGGGTTAAATCTTTGCTAAGCGCATCGATTTGCTTAGCAGCATTTGCATGCCTAGCAGTTCTGCGGAATTGAGCCCGGCTGATTACACAGTCACCCTTTGAAATGTTAACATGATTTGTGACCCATCCTATCAAAATGAGTCGGAAGTTGCTAGAGCCACTGTCGAGTGAAAAGGCCTTCAGTAGAATATGGCACAGTAGAAATCAGTAGAAACCCTCAACATTTTACAGCCACATAATGTCATGTTTATCAGGATGCCGGACTGAATGATACATCAGAGCAAAGAGCTTGGTTTGCCCTTTCTGATGCACACTAGAGCAGAATTACAAGAAATATGGCCTTAAGACTCATTTTGTAGGATCTGGCCACATTGGCTTATCTGACATCTGCTGCCATGTGTGCTTTTAATCAGGAACATGGTGGTAGCTTTGAAGGAGCTCTCCATCCGGGGTGACTTCAGGACAACCATTGAATACCTGGTCATGTTACTGGAGACCCAGGCCTTCCAGCACAACGAGTTTGACACAGCCTGGCTGGATGTTCTCATTCGGGAGAAGGTCCAGGTGGGTATCAGGGAATTTGTAACTCGGCAATAGACATGCTCCTCTTCAGAAAAGTATAAAGGATGCAATCAAGCGAGACTTTGTTGACCGTGTCCAATTTACGGGCTTTGATATGCTTGAAAAGAACACAATAACTGCTTCCTTGCCATGAATACCGTGTGATGACACAACATTTGGTTCAGTAGCTGCAAAAATCAAAACACAGAAAGATTTGATGCTGAAATAAAAGACTCATTTTGCTTGATCGCGTCACGGAATTTGCGTTTCTCAACAGCTTCTTTAAAAACCGACCGATATGTAGAATGCAGTTGAGATAGCAAGTGTAAATCTTTATTCCTTTTTATTTCTGTGTTCTCAGGTTGAGAAACCAAACACAGTCCTGGGTGTTATTTGTGCATCTCTGCACATCGCCGATAGATCCATCAGTGAAAATTTCTCCAACTACCAGACGTCCCTGGAGAGGTAAGAGGACCATTACCTTGTGAAGGCACCATTGCCCTGAATCGTTCTCATAGGAGATACTTTTCAAGGTCCCTGAGGACATTATCAATTCTTTCTGTCGGGTAACGAAAACTTTGAGACGCTTGGTGGTAGTAAATAAACCGGTCCCCACACGACTGGTCCACTGTTGTTTGCTTTACAGTTGAGCTAATGTAAACATATTGAAAGTGACAGCAGTGGTGGGCTGGTGACAGGGACCAATATGTTTCCAGCCGTCAGGCACCCTTTGTCAGTTTCCATTCAGCCCTCAAATTAGACTAAATTAGAATTTCGTCAAGCTCTTCTGTCTTTGACTGGGAATCTTAATGATTCAGCATATATATTTGTTAACAGAGGCCAGGTTTTGCCGGCAAACATGCTGAGCAACACACGAGAGGTGGAGATGATTTACGAAGGCTTCAAGTACATCATCCACGTGACGAGGCAAAGTCCGAGCAGTTATTTCTTGTGTCTGAACAACTCCACGTTGGAAGTTGACGTGCATCGGATGTCAGACGGTGGCTTGCTCGTGTCATTTGAAGGCAGTAGTTACACGTCATACTTCAAGGAACAGATCGACAGGTGAGTCACTGTCATTGCTATTAACCACTTGCTGCCAGGTGGATTTTTCTTGAGCAAGACAAGATGCCGGCTCATTTTCAAGATTTTCCGTTTTCAAGATTTTTCAAAAATTCATCATTTCATTTAATGGCTGTTTATACAAAAGCGAAGGACTCGTTGGGCACTATTTTAAAGCTGACAGGTAAAATTCATTGACTTATGAATATTTCAGCCAGGCCTGCAGCCTTGGAAAAAGAGCCCAGATTGTGCGGTGTTACGTAAGATTCTTTTTTTCCCGAAACCGGCACAGTGCACTGCTGACTTCTTTTCAATAGGGGCCAGATTAGCGTGCAGCGGTGCTGTGTGGCTCATCGCTGCAGTGGGGGAGAGCTTTTGTCCTGGTGGTAATCCGCTCGCTCTAAATGCTTCAAACCGTGGTATACTGTTTCAAAACAAGGCTGGATTATCTCCACTATTGAGAGCGAAAAAATGTTGGTAATGCCCAGCAGCTCAGTCTTGTGTGCTGAGCACAGTCTTTGTTCTAAGGCCCACTCTCTCTTCTCCCAGTTCCGGGCTCCCCGGCTCAGCATATAGAGCCTATGTACTCGAAAACGGGTCGCCCGGCAGGGAGTGGTTAACACAGGTTAAACGTCAAAAAGCACAGTATTTTCCTTACTAAAGGGACACCTTTTGTTTCATTGGAGCTTGTGTTAAACATCTTGCCCTCTCCTTAGTTACCGCATCACCATTGGCAACCAGACCTGCATCTTTGAGAAGGAGAATGATCCCAGCATCCTGCGGTCCTCCTCGGCTGGCAAGCTGCTCCAGTACCTCATAGATGACGGGGGGCACGTCGCCGCTGGCCAAGCCTATGCTGAGATCGAAGTCATGAAGATGGTCATGAGCCTGAGGGTGCCCGAGAGTGGATGGTAAGCACATTCCCATTGACTCCTTGTGATGTTTAGTTGTAGGCTGAGCGTTTGGCATGTCAAGTGCCAGCAGAATCTCTTGGGGCAGCTGTGGGTGGAAGGTGGACCCTTGTTGATTTTTACAAAATGAAGTAGAGTCTGGCTTGCGTATTAAAGAATATCTGTGAAATGTTCTACATCATTCTTCCAGGGGGTCTTCAGTTTTGATGGTGCTTGTTTCATGTCGTTGAACCGCGGTTTACTATCTTCATTTAAACAGTTGTGTCCTTTCATCTGTTATGACATCAGCAGTAAGAAACTGTCTTTAAGCTAACTGTTCTGTATTCTTTTATTTTAACCCATTTGAGTGTGATGTTATGCCAGAACAAAGTTTTCTTCCACATGATATTATTCTTAGTTGAAACTGCGGATTTTTAAAAGCACAATATACCACAACTAAACGCCATTTACAGAGTTGGCCTTTACAAATGCTGACCCATGGTTGTCATTTGTGCAAGATTTATGCAACAGTTTTACCATACCATCACTTTTTTTCAAACTCTGGGGTAGTGTTGTTGAGCAATAGTTGCTGCAGAGCCCAGCCATGGCAAAATAATTATTATTATTAAATGGAAGCTTTAGGGCTTCACTGAACCTCCACAGATGTCTGTGTTTATACAGAAACAATGGGAATCTCCCAAGCATACTGCGGACAGTTTGCCACGTGTTTCAACGTGTCCTGGGTACCGGAAATTGTGCATGTTAACACATCCTCTGGCTTGAAGTGGTTAATAAACCATTTCTTGCATCCTGGGGGAAGGCTAATGGAGGTCATGAGATAAGGGAGCGTTTCATAATTGTTGAAGGCGGTATTTACTGCGGTACCGCTGTTTTTTTTAGCGGCACCGCACTAGTTACCCGAAGGGGCTTAATGCTGGTACCGCAAAAATACAGCGGTACCGCAGTAAATACCGCCCTCTGTAATTATGAAACGTTCCCTAAATTGCATATGTACCAAATTTTAGTTTTGCACACTGTATCAGTGTATCTCTTTCTTGTGCTTTCAGCGTACACTTCGTGAAGCGACCAGGTGCTGTGTTGGACCAGGGCAGTGTCTTAGCTAAGCTGGACCTGGATGACCCGACAAGAATACACAAGGTTGGTCACCCAGGTCGCATATTAATCAGTGTCATCCTGAAAGGTTAGAACCTGCCTCGACCATGGAGGAGTCAGGATGAAGCTGCCCTTAAGACTACTTGGGATGTTTGGATGTGCACTCGCAGTAGGTGGTAGGAGCCCCACTGCATGTTAAGAACACAGAAATTAAAGGACTGCTGTTGTGGTCAGTGCCTTTTTGCTCACTTTATCTTTGTACCAGTGGTTCCCGTTGTACTTTATTACAAAATACTACTGTTGGGCGCCAGTGAAGCAACTGTGCTTTTGACAGAATAGTCCAGCTGTACTGCAATTAAGTAAAACTACAAACCTTCGGTCGCATTCAGACTTAGTCATCAGTTCAGGAGGATTTCAGCCAAACAGAGGCCAAGTATATTTCAGCTCATGTATTTTTCTTTTTTTCTTGGTTGTGTATTTTAGGCTCAGATTTTCCAAGGTGAGCTGCCTAACTCGGCCAAGAGTCCCGGGGCCGAGATTCACGGATGGAAACTGAACCAGATGTTCATCAAAGCCAGAGAAACCTTGGAGAATATCATGAAAGGATTCTGCTTGCCCAAGCCTCACTTTACCAAAAAGGTACATTTATAGTAACCTTGAAACTAATTTCCTTTTTGTGATAAATATCATATTGTTGAAAAGCTAATATATTGGGCTTTGCAATAGATAAATTAATCAAAGTGTGCACCTGAGCAAAGTGCCTTGTACCCTTCCATGTCAGTCATTGCTTTTGAGTGATTAGCCTGTTCAGTATTAACACAGCCCCTTGCACTGAGCAAGATTCGACAGTTTTCATTCAAAATCACTCAGGCTGCATCCGAATCTCTTGTCCAGAGCTAGGTCTAGGTCTTCGCTCCATTGGAAACGCGTGGAGATGCGTAGACAATAGACCTAGCCGTAGCTCTGGAAGCCCGTTTTGGACACGGCCTCAGGTTTCTGAAAATGTTGAAGAAGAGTATGTTTTTTTGCCCCAACTAATGTGCAAACCATTAAAAAAAATCTGTGAAAAATTTGCAGATTGTAGCCTTGGTTACCATTACCCTATGGGCTTGTGGACTCTTAGTGCTGTGATTACTTCATCGTGAAAATTGTTCCATCTTAGTAGGCAGAGTGAAAGCTGACCATTCACTCTGTGCACATTCACTCTGTGCAGGTAACGGAAACAGTGAAACAGCTGATGACAGTGATTCGAGACCCTGCCCTCCCCCTGCTGGAGATGAAAGAGATGATAGCTGCCGTCTCCGGCCGTCTACCTCCGGCAGTTGAGAAGGAGATAAGGAAGCAGCTGAATGCATATGGGAGCAACATCACCTCTGTTTTATGCCAGTTTCCAAGCCAACAGGTCTGGAAAGAGCGGAGTTTTTTAATTTGACATTACTTGACCTGGCACCCAACCCTACCTAACTCTACCCCACCCAACCCAATCTAACCTAACCCAACCTAACCTAGCCTAACTGAACCCAATGAAACCTAACCAACCCAATACAACCCAACCCAACCTAATGCTACCTAACCCAACTCAACCCAACCTAATGCTACCTAACCCAACTCAACCCAACCTATTGCTACCTAACCCAACCCAACCCAACCCAACCTCATGCAACCCAACACAACCTAACCCAACGCAACCTAACCCAACCCATCCTAACCCAAGCCAACCCAACAAAACCTAACCCAACCCAACGCAACCTAACCCAACCCAATGCAACCTAANACCCAACCCAACCCAACCCAACCCAACCCAACCCAATGCAACCTAACCCAACCCAACCTAACCCAACCCAACCTAACCCAACCCAATGCAACCTAACCCAACCCAACCTAACCCAACCCAACCCAACCTAACCTAACCCAACAGCCCGATGCAATCTTACCCAACCCAATTTCTAATTTTGTACATTTAGTCATAAAGTGCAACCAATGAACCGATCAAACCACCATTTATGTGCACATTCTTTATAAGTTGACTCCATCATTACCTCCAGATCGCCAATGTTATTGACCGCCATGCTGCTACTCTTCAGAAGCGATCAGAGAGAGATGCCTTCTTCATGCACACACAGGGCATCGTGCAGCTGGTACAGCGGTAAGACACACAGGCCACAGTGTAGACAAAAGAAAGAGCGCAAACCAATTTGTTTAGGTAGTAATGGCTTTTCTGATAACATTTTCTGAGACATCTCCAAAAAGTTGCCTCACAATGAACTTGGGGTTGTACACCAAAAGACAAGATGCGTATTATTCGTTTAGATATCTTCACATCAGAATCTTGAGCAAAACTTCACTCATGAAATCATTATGACATTGCCTGCAGCTGGGGAGAAAAAGTCATGTTTTATATGTGATGAATAAAAATAATGAATGAATGAATGATTGTGTTTGAAATTCTGGCTGATAGTTTTTTGGATTTGAACCTTTCAGTCGATGCAAAGAACCTTACAAAACCATTTCATTCCATTTCATGTTGAAGAACTTGTACACTCTTCATGAAAGCTATAGACTGTTTTATTTCAAGCACTGAACCGGCGTGGTGGCTCCTGTTACAAAATTTTATCAGGGTTCTTCTCGGATCCTAAATTTTCCAAGAAGGACTTTATGGGACCACAAAATGCAGTGTTTGAGCAACGAACAGCAAAACAGTCGATGGAGGAAAAGCCCGCTTAACCATTAACTGTGTTGTCTATCGCAGATACCGGAATGGAATTCGCGGCCACATGAAGTCCGTCATTCAAGATCTCCTGCGCATGTACCTGCGGGTGGAGACCAAGTTCCAGCAGGGGCCGTACGACAAGTGTGTGATGAGCCTCCGGGATGAGTTCAAAACCGACATGTCCAACGTGGTCTGGAGTATCTTCTCCCACGCGGAGGTTGCCAAGAAGAATCAACTTGTCATCCAGATCATTGTAAGTGCTCTTTCCACATCTAATTTGTTGTCTTTCTTTTTCAGTTGAACCTAACTCCCTCGTCATTTGTGCATGGAACTTTCTCGCTTCTTCATAATTCCTCCAACGTGGCAGAAGTCAGCGGAACACATATTGTGCTTCAACTGTTAAAGGTCATTTAGCTCGGCCAAGTAATTGCTGGGCTTAACCTTCCTCAAGCCTTCAAAATCAAAAGGCACAAGAAACCAAAAGGCACAAAGTCCCTAGCCAATGATCTTTCCTCTTTTGAAGCACTCATTTCTCCATGGAAGTGCACTAAGTCATATCATTGTTCCCCCAGGAACGCATCAGCAGCCGTGATGCTGGCCTGACAGAGGAGCTCTCGGAAATCCTGGGCGAGCTGACCACACTCAGCAAGCAGGATCACTCCAAGGTGGCATTGCGGGCCCGCCAGGTGCTGATAGCCGCCCACCAGCCGTCCTACGAACTCCGGCACAACCAGGTGGAGAGCATCTTCCTGTCAGCCATCGACATGTATGGCCACCAGTACTGCCCCGACAGTCTCAAGGTGAGTGAAAGAGGGCCCTGGCTCAACACTTGAACAAGAGGTTGTGTCTGGCCTATTTCCTTCACCCTAACCATGAAGACATTGTTGTAGGATCCTTTACTGAATCTTCAAATCCACCCAGGAAATCAGTGGCACACTCTCTTTAAATTAATCTATTTTACCTGTAATGTTATTGGGTCGCTGATCTAGTCCTTACAGTGGAGATCAAGCCCTTTGTAAGGCTGGGATTTGTTTGCCTTCTTCAAGTTTGCCAAATTTCATATTTCAGTACACATTGATTTCCCCTCCTGCGTGAACATGCAAACTGGACAGAGCTTTCCTGTCTGTTGAAAACAAGCAGACCTCACTCTCAGTATTCTCTGTGTCTCCCATAATCTTGTTCGATTTGGCATGATCAGGGTTATTGTGGAGTGGTATGTCTGTGCAGTTGAAGCAGGGGGAGTGGTATACAGTTTTGATTGTCTTTGGCTGTTAAAACAGTAGAGGGAGTAATTTTCTGTATTCTTGTTTTGTGTATGGCAGAAATTGATCATGTCGGAGACCACCATCTTTGATGTGTTACCGAGCTTCTTTTTCCATAACAACCCAGTTGTTCGAAGAGCTGCCTTAGAAGTAAGTGGTTTTTTACACACCTGTATCCCACTTTATGAGAAAGCACATGTATTTGGGGCATCTAAGCCTCATTAATAAGCATCAGGGTTAGTCTGCAGGTTCTTTTATCATTTCTCGGTGGTGATGAGGATTTTCAAATTTGAGGTTTAGGATAGCTGCGGCATGTGAAATTACAGTAAATAACAAAACGTTCGGTTGTTCAACGACTGTTGGCATCTATCTGGCCCCGGTCAGCTTCAGGAAGATAAGATTGAAGTCACCTCTGCACTTGCATGAGCTTAATTAGCCCTGAACGTTTTACTTATGCTCTGATCTTAAGCTAGGGAAATATTGAGCTCTGCTGTGTCTGTTGTGTACATTTGTATGCGTAATCTGTCAGTGATGTTTGATGTACACAGGTGTATGTGAGGAGAGCCTACATAGCCTATGAGCTCAATTGCTTGCACCACTCTGTACTCAGGAACTCTCTGTGTGTGTTAGAATTCCAGTTCATGCTTCCGTCCTCCCATCCCAACAGGTATGTACATCCATGTCATTATGAACTAATAATTGGCATGCTAGGGGGCCTAAACCAATAACAAGTTTGCTGTGAGATACTGCTTTGAGAAGTAACAGTGGTATATTTAAGGTAGTGGGAGTGGAGCGTCAAGTTTCTCTCTACATTCCAACTTTCTTTTTTAAGATGACCTGCTCTGTCCAAGCCAGACACTGTTTGACAGAGCTTGAATTGGGGAAACAAACTCAGGACAACTGTGGGTGATTCCTTGTCATTTTTTGTTAGTATTTTTCAATTGTACGATGCCATTTGTGTCCTCAAACAGTTGTAAAAGTTCCAAGTGTTTCATTTTAATGCATAAGAGTTCTGTGTTGTACTCAGAAAGGACTAAAATTCAGCCATCACATTAAATCACAAAACTTTTAAGAATTCCGGCAGCAGCATTGCCCCATTTGGGCTTCACATGTTCTTTATTTTTCTGTGAGAAATTTACTTTCAAATGTTTAGCCGTACTTGTAAAGGGAAGGACCAATTATAAAACTTATCATACCCAAACAATTTTGACCAGCTGCCAGATAAGAAGTCTGTTTTGACCAGAGCATGTCTCCAATGTTGATATCATTATTTGGGATGTGTGCCAAATGTTACAGCTATGGCTGTAAGTAATGTGTGGCAATGGAAACCAGTGGCTAGCAGCTGTAGCCAATTCCCATAGACGTGTGTTCTCGTAGACAGAGCCTGTTGATAAAGACACGGCTCTAGTGCTCGTACGTTCTATGTGTAAGCTAATGAGGGAGTTGTGCAACCTAATAATGCACATTAAAAACTATATGATGCACAATATGTGGCAAAGGCAGACCCCTCCCTTTGTGTTTTCTTTCATGTTGTAGGAATCTTGGGAATTCCTTTCAGATATTCAGGGAGATACAGTAGGTACAATACCCTAGGGTTTTCAATATGCATCTGCCTCTTCCACATATCGCTTCGGTTATGAAAATAAAACCAAGCAGGAAACACTCTGGTGCCCTATCCTTCTGTTGTTCTCTGTACTTACCAGTTTACTTTAACTGCTAAGACCTGAGCCAATTTCAAAGAATTAGTTGTCACAAGCAAGGAAATTTGGCTGAGCACATAAGATCTTCGGTTAGTAGCTGAAATGTTGTACAGTGGGCATTGCCTGTGACCGGTTCTCCGCTCTTCCTTTGTCATGGCACAAATTTGCCGACAACCACTGCTTTCCTTGGAAGTGACCCGCTCTAAAGGTGCCTGCGCACAGAGGAACGGAAACCTGACTTGAAGTCCTGGTTTTAGGGTTCAAGTTGTCCTGTGAACCTGTGTCCAGTGGCTGCAAACTTAAAAGCCAGATCATACCAATTTGACATGGAGAAATGTCTGAAGTGAAGTTAATCAGAGTTGAAGTGTGTTCAACTTCAAGGAACTGTCACCATGAACACTTGATTGATGTCATGGAAAATGTCCACTTTCCAGGCGCCTCTTGCACTAACTCTTGGAAATAAATGACATCAGTAACTCTAGGGAAAAAACTAGACAAGTAATTCTAGTCACCACATTCTGCATGCTGAATTGCGGTATTGCACATTTTCTGCTAGATTTTGAGCAGTGGTGGGGTTTTTCCCTTCTGAATGCAGTTTGTCATTTGAGATATGTTCTTACGGTTTTTCATTCTTCGATTGTTTATGAAAGAGATGAGAGTTCGTGCGTTCAACCGTCTCGATGATGTAGGATTTGCCTTCTGAAAACCTTTCTATTTCCTTTCACTTTTCTGGTGACATTTCTTTGCTGCACTCTGCTCAGTACCGTCACTTTCCCAAGGACCAGGTAAAGACATTAGAGATTGCTTCTGAGACATGCCTTAAGAAACCACCCTTTGCCTTGTAAACAGCTTTGGTTGTGGTTTGGTCGAACACAAGTACTAACAAGGTCTGCTTTGTTGCTGTTCATGCGTTCCTCAACTAATCTATTGCATCCTGGCATGCATTGACTCTCTCGTGTTAGAATTGGGAAACATTTCTACCGGTGAGGGCATGTGAGAGCTATTTTGCGTGGCATAGTGTGCAAACCTTGCGTAGCCAGGAAAAATGTTCCAAGGTTAACGCCTATATTTGTGACTATAAAATATCGCAGTTGCTTGGATGAGATCAACGGTTTTCCCAAGAATTGCCATATCACAAGATTTATTGTTTCCATGGTTTGTTTGGTATAAATCTGGATTAGCGAGTAAGATGTGAAGCTTTGCATGGTGGAGGTTACTTGAGCTATAGGTTTGTGGGTACTGCATGGAAACTATCTCTTAGGAAGAGGTGTGGTACTGAGAAGAACCAGTGAGTATTAACTTGACACTCGTCGAGTTATATTTAATACTCACCTGTTCTTCTCAGAACCACACCTCTTCTGAAGAGATAATTTCCATGCTGTACCTGCAAACCTGTAGCTCATGGATTAGCAGGGTTCTATGACAAGATTTTCTGTTCCCTTAGGTCATGCTTGTGATTTTTTTTGCTCCAACATTTTATAGAATTACAGTAAAATTGTGTTCATGATTAACATTGGGCTATGTGCAGCCAGGAAGCTAATTGCATGTTCATGTTGCATGCCTTTTCATGGTTTGTGGTTACTCCTGCATGAATGTCATGGTACTGCTCGTTTTGTTATAACATGCCAATAACAAGAAACTTACAACTGTCTTTCCATGAGGTTGGGGCATACTTTGTAATTTGTGACAGTGTCCCTTGTTACGTGGGTTCCGTAAAAATGAACAGCTATTTCCCTGCATGTGGATTCCAAATTGGCATTATTGTACGTCTTGCAATGCTGAATACGAAGGTGTGTGTTATTTTCACAGAGTAAATGACCTATCCTACAGATCATGACAGGTGATAAAAGTAATACCCATGTAACAAGGACACCATCACAAATTGCGCCCCAACCTCACGGAATGACCCAACTATAACAGAAATACATACTCTTGTCTATATTCCTGTGTGTATCTAAAAGCATTGTGAAGTACTGAAGTACATGTACTGATGCAATACATAAATAAGATCCCAAAAGAGTCCAGATTTACAGCTTGCCCTTCGGGCTGCCGCAGCGCAACGTTTTAATAAGACAATCGTCCACCGAACATTGGGTTGTAGAATGAAATACACATACCTTTATGGATTGCAAATGGAAGCCAACCAAATGCATGCCTCACATGGTATGTGTTCAATGTACGTATGGTGCAGTGGGCTGGGTCTACCAACTGGGCTGGTCTGGTGGTATGTGGCGTGAAGACGATCATGTGTAAAAACAAAAAGTGAATTTAAGGTCAAAACTAACAGGAAAAACTGGGTATTGTTTATTAAATGGGGAACTAGATCTGTTTATTGCAAATGTTGAGCTGGCCAGCCAAGCCTCTTGGGGATGCTTCTTAGCTGGCTTCGAGGCAGTTTCAACTATCATTTGGCCAACAGACCACTGCTAAATCAGACACTGATTACAGTGATTACAGCGCTGTGTAGTTACTGCACTGTTTTATGCTGAAAGGAAATTTCCTATAACTTGAATCCACTTGCACAATTATTAAGTGTAGTCCATGATAACTGACCACAGTCTTCTTTTGACATGTAGTTATTAGTCCCACCTAAGTCGTATTGTCCTGTGTTGCAGACTACACACAGTCTCCCCAAGGTTTCCAGCATTTTGCTGGAAATGTGTGCTTGTCTGTTGTGTGAAAACTGAAATTGGCTGACGAACAGCATTTGGGGCCAGATACATGTAACCCCCGTTCAACTCTGTGTTATTTTGAGATGTAACTGGCTTTCTTTCTCTGTAAAACAAGCAGTCTATCTTTTAATTCATTTTCTACAAGTAGATTTGTCATAGCATTGCTACAGATGTGTGGAATATACTCCCACCACACCAACTCCTTCTGTCAATGAATTTTGTGGGGTCTCTTACAGGATCTTGCCAGATATGGCTGGGCACTCCAGGACAGCCAGTTTTGGTGAAGAACAGCTCGGGGCCATGGTGCCCCCCTGCCAACGGATGGGAGTCATCTGTGCTTTCTCATCCCTGGAGGAGTTTAAGAGGTCAGTGAGATTGTGTGGATTGGGTTTTCAGTCCTTACCCGAGTCAATGGGTTTTCCTTGAAACATTTATCGGGGGTTTCCTCCCTCCTGTAAAACTGAACATTTCTTCATTGTCTTCTCATTATCGTCCTGTAATTGGCGCTAAATGCGCTATTCGATGAACAGATATAAACAAATTGGTTTGATGGATTACATCTGTTCCTCCTCATGCGTGAAGGATTTATGAGAATTAGGAGATAACTGAATAATGGAGAGACTGTCTTATTACACCGTGCATTATTGATTTTAGATGGATATTTTATTTACTAGATGACTGATTTTAGTAATTGAACAATCAACCAGGCCACTGACATCTTGACGGGATTTCTTTGAGTTCCGTACATTGTATTTTTTTGAATCGTAATTGAATTTGGAGTTTCACTGAAAGCGTTGGATGTTTTCTACTTACTGTGATGATATCAGCTTTTAATGGGTATGAAGTCCTGGTTTTATTATCTTAACCTGTGCGTACATTTAAGTGTAAATTTTAGTTTCTATACAATTTTCATTTGTCCTGCCTGTAATTTGTATTTTCTAAAGACCATGTGAATTTCCCCAAAGGGATAATAAAGTTGTTCTATTCTATTTTCTTCACTAAAATTGAAGAGTGATTGGTATTGTGATTTTTGATATATGATGAAGGATTGTTGTGAAAAAACAGGTTTCTAAAAGTCAGAGTTCTCCTTGTGTTTTGTAGTTATTTTGATGATGTGATTGATCAGTTTGCTGATGTCCGCTTCAAGTTCTCTAGTTTGTCTGACACGGACTACAAGGAAAATGTAAGTTCATTCTTCTGATTCCGGTGGGGGGAGGAGGCTTCTTTTGCAACGAAACATACACGTTCAATTTTTCTTTGAGACTCAAATATCTGGACGCGTTTCTTTCATTCCAGACCTGTCCTCCCGGAGAACCCATCCACATCGTCAACATTGCCATTCATCTGGATAAAAATGAAAAAACCGACAACGAGCTTGCTGAAATGTTCCTGGGTTTCTGCCAAGAAAAGGTCAGCGATTCTCTGTCGAAATCCACCTGGAAATAAATTGCCACCTGAATTGATTTTGTCAACATCAGTGTCAGAGATGGCCATTTCAAAAAAAACATCTTAATGTGCATCCAACATGTCAGTACACGCTGCAATGTACCTGCAATGTTTGCCTTGTCTAAAAAGTTTTTGCTTCGCATCTCAAGGGTTGGGATTAAAAGTGTTATCATGGAAAAGTTCAGAACTGTAATTCAAGAACAAGTTCATGTTTCCATATTTGCATTTTGTAGAAAAAGGAGTTGTTCAGTAGAGACATCCGTAGGATTACCATCCTGTTTTGGAGCAAGAAGGATTTCCCAAAGTACTTCACCTACAGAGCACGATTGGATGTAAGTACAGAACTCTGTGTAGTGGTCAAGGCCTTTCGGCAGACAACAAAAGGAAATACTACCTTGAAACCCTTTAGAATCATTCCAGTTTTAGCGCAGAACTTTGCAACTCATCAGTATAGTTTATCTCAAAGTACCCTTTCAAAATATTCATCTGAAAATGGAAAAGCAGTCAGTTCAAAGACTGGTAGACGGGATTGTTGCGAGGTTTGAGGAAGCATGAAAAATTGGAGAAAAAAGTTGAACACCCATGAAGTCATATTTAGTTTTTTTTATAGGAAAATATGGAAAGATTTAGATTTTATCCATTTTTGTGGTCACAGTTCCAAGAGGACCGCATTTACCGTCATCTAGAGCCGGCCTTGGCTTTCCAGCTTGAGATCAACAGGATGAGTAATTTTGATCTTCAGCTGATGGATCGAGCCAACTACCGAATGCATCTGTACCTAGGATCAGCCAAGGTTGGTTGGTTGGTTTTTTGCTCTCCATCATGTGCGTCTTGAGCTAAAGCGTATTGAGTTTTTGCAGGTATGAACTGAAATACCTTGCAGGGAGTTGGTAGACTTCCTTGGAATGTGTGCTGCGAGAATAACGCCTTCGGATATCCGAAAATGCTGCAAAACGTGAAGTTGAAGAGCAAGTTAACCTTGTAAATATTTTAGTTTATTCAAAGAAGAGGTTCATGTACCTTTCCCAGCACGTTTTTTCGAACTTTGATTTTGGAAACTCTGTTGTCAGAGTTTGAAAACATATTTTCAGATCTGAACTTTGCAGTGGTTAGTTTTTGCTATTTTTTGCAACTAGAAAAACACCAATGTAATTCCATTTTATTTTTGTTCATGAACACTCTCAGGTTCAGAAAGGTCAGGAAGTTACCGACTACCGGTTCTTTGTCCGTGCCATCATCCGTCATTCAGATCTCATCACTAAGGAGGCGTCCTTTGAGTATCTTCACAACGAGGGAGAGAGGATGTTGCTGGAAGCCCTGGATGAGCTAGAGTTAGCCTTTAATCACCCAGATGTAAGTCAATTTCTGAACCGGTCTGATAATTTTCTTTGTTTTGATGTAGCTTTTTTGAAGACCTGCAACTTTTCCTTAGATCAGTTGATCTCCTTTCCAACACCACAAGTATGCCATTAATGAAAAATTGAGAGTCTCAGCAATTTGGATTTAGCCTGCTTTTGATGTTAGTGAAGTTTGAAAAGATTTGACTTCTGTCTTGAAATTAGCATACCATAAAGAGTTGTGCATTGATTTTTGTTTGTTAAAGACTGCTAGTGAAGGACAGTACTGGTATTGAAGTTATATTGTCAAGATAGGATACAGTAAAACGGAGAATTACCCGTTTCAATACTCCCTCATCCTGACAGAGAGTTTCCACAAAGTTTGCAGATTTTTTGAGGAAGTCAAAATTATGTGCAGATGTTTTATCCCACAATACAAGGAGAGCAACAAAAGATCTCTTCTGGCGAGTAATTTGTACACTTTTTTTTGTTTTTCTGGTTGTATTGTCTTGCGTATTTATGTTTACAGTATTGGGAATTCAACCTAAATCGACACAACATTTTGATCACGTGCAATTTGTCGATATTTTTAGTGCCAGTGATTTTGCGGGGAATAATCAATGACTGAAAAAATTTTTTCCCCACGGCAACAGTCTAAGCGGACCGACTGCAATCACATCTTCTTGAACTTCGTGCCGACGGTGTTCATGGACCCCATGAAGGTGGTGGAGAGCCTGAGGTCCATGATACTGAGGTACGGCCACCGGCTGTGGAAACTGAGGGTCCTCCAGGCTGAGCTCAAAATGATAGTCAGGTGAGTTCCCCCTTCAAGAGTCATTTTTCGGAAAGGGGGGGGGTTGGTTCGGCATGCCATATCATTACTAATGCTTTTAAAATAGCGTTTCGTTTGGTAACCCGTCATTTGTTTTTCGTTCTCTGGTTAGGTTACCTGGAGGGCAATCCATTCCAATCCGCATCTTCATCACAAACGAGTCTGGCTACAATCTAGCCATCACACTGTACAAGGAGGAGACTGATTCAGCGACTGGACAGGTATTACGTAAATAGGAGTTGGCACTTGATGGCCGCATGTTGAGTGCGTGCTTGTCACTTCAGACATCAACCACATATTTGTCACGTTTCAAGCACAATCAAGGTTACGAGTGGGCCATGTTCCTTTACATGCGTGTGATGTAGTTTTTAAATGTTATCTAAATTGGCCTACGTCATACATGAAAATGAAAGGTACTTTTATGCCTGTCTTTTCTCGGTTGTAGGTTATGAAGGTTATAATGTTCCCCACGCATGAAGGCCAACCGTAGGGAAAGAGCAATTGGCTTTGAGCGGATACCCAGACACATGCGAAGATTCATATCATACCAACACAGAGTCATAAAGACTTGAGTTACATTTATTGGGAGCTAATCCAAGATTTTGGGCTCTCTCTTTCTCTGAAACTTTGCAGGTGAAGTTTATCTCTTTCACGGAGAAGCAAGGCAGCCTGCATGGGCGCATGATCAACACTCCCTACGTCACCAAAGACCACCTACAGCTCAAACGATATCAGGCCCAGACGCTGGGGACAACATACGTCTACGACTTTCCGGACATGTTCAAACAGGTTAGTATTCTCGAAGGAATGCCATCAGTATTCATGGCGTTTGTATTTGGAATCGGAGGGTCGGCTGGCCTGTCACGGTCGTTGGTCGGCCGTATCAGGCCAGGGGGATCTTAACTTTAGTCTGAAGTTTTCATTCAAGTGCTGAATTTTCCACAGCAACTTTTTTTGAATGCTGTTCCACTTCTGTCATTTTACATGTGTAAAGTCTCATTTATCCATTGGATGGGATTTTTGCTTCTGCTTCAGAAATTGAGACGCATCTGGGAGGAACATCAGGGAAAGAACAAGGACACAGTTATCCCAGAGGAATTGGTAAACAATGGTTTTTTGTTTTTTTTATTTGTACCTATGTCAGTTTCCACTTCTAAACACAGCTTGATTTATTGCGCAAGCTCATCTTGGAACTTATTTTTCAAATTGAAAAAAGTATTGAATTGTGCTCTTTAAAGTGATAGTCATTGGTAGAAATTGCCTGTGCAGTATTTCATAGACCAGAATCTCAAAGATGTACCAAAAGCTTTGCTGTAGTTCCTTGAGTTACCAGTCGGTGCTGTAAAAATGTTAGTTGCACCATGTCTTTGATTGGATTGGCTAATTTATCTTTCACCTCATTGGCTATTTTTCTTCAGATGAGCGGCAGTGAACTTGTCCTTGATAGTCAGGGCACATTGACACCGGTCAACAGAATGCACGGCGAAAACAGGGTGAGTAGATCTGAGCCTTGGCATTCTTTTCTTCTTCCCACCAAGGAATGATATTTCTATAAATTTCTCTTTCCAAAAGTATTCTTGGATACATTTAATTGCATTAATTCAATTTACTTTCAAGGGCCCTAGGCCTACCTGCTCCAAGAATTAGTAATGATGTGTTCATTGCAAATTGTGCACCCTATCAGTCCTTTAGGCACGAGATGTAGGTAGATATTAGCAATCGCTGTTTGTTTTCAGATTGGTATGGTGGCTTGGAAGTTCACCTTTGTGACTCCCGAGTATCCTGAAGGTCGCGATGTCATCATCATCGCCAACGACATCACCTTCAAGATCGGCTCCTTTGGACCGGAGGAGGACAGGCTGTTTGAGGTGGGTAGACATGTTGAAGACGTTGTTCTTCGATGTCGCTGTCGGATGTTCAGGTCTCGTTGCCTCACCCAAGTCTTTGCTGCTTGTGATACTCAGTAGAGGGCCTGTAAGCTGTATTCAGTAGTATGCCCTGGGCTGGGAGTGATGGGGGTATTGTTGTGTGATAGACTGCATGGATTGAGCAGGGTTTACGAATCACTTGCTGGAGAGCTGGCAGATGTGAACATCTCCTGTTACCAGTCTGTGTGCAGTTTAAGGTGCGCTCCTGTTTATTGACATGTGAAGCCAGGTTTCTAGCACTGGGTCTCGGTATTTGGTATGGACACTGCTTCCAACTCATTTTTGCAAGCTGTGGCTAACTGGAAATAATGCTGTTATAAAGCCAGTCACTGTGGAAGATTTTTCAACGTAAAACCAATTTTTCTGAAGTTGAAGCACAGATTACCTGCATATGATCTCTCTGATAGCCAGGTTCTCGTTTTGAACTTTGAACATTCTTTCTGTTTCAAATGCTGTCAACAGAAAGCATCGGAGCTAGCCCGTTCTCTAGGCATTCCTCGTATCTACCTGTCGGCCAATAGTGGGGCTCGGATTGGACTAGCTGAGGAGGTCAAGCAACGGTTCAAGGTGGCATGGGTTGACCCTGCCAAGCCGGACAAGGTATGATAGATCATGTGTGAAATAGCTTAGGCCATGTATGTGAAAGGTCAAACAGTGTGGGTTGGCCCTGTCGATGTGAAGCCTCTTAAGATTTGTTAGGTAAAAGGTTAAAAAAACAAGCAGAAGTTTACATGTCATCTGGACCAGGGATATGTGGTGATAAATCAAACAGGCATGCAACTTTTCCTTAGATCAACTGATTTCCTTGTTTTTCACTTAACACTCATGCCATTGGAAATTGAAAAACACTGCACAAAGTCTTGTTTAGATTGGAATTTCCTTGTTTTTTTGTCAAAGTTCAAATTGCATGCCTGAATCAAAAAGTGGTCTTGAGATTAAATTGTAAACTGTCACAACATGGTAGGTAGCATGCTTGTTCTGCATCAAAAGTAGATGAATTTCAATTCAAAACCATATTTGTGAATTAGGAATTATACTGAATTCTACATGTGTTTCCTTTTTCTGCTATTATTTGACCCTGAGAGTTCCAAAAAGTTGACTTGTTACCATGTTTTATTCTAGGGTTTTAAGTATCTGTACTTGACACCATCTGACTACAAGCAGCTACTTGCTCTCAACTCACTACGAGCTGAGCATATAGAGGAAGACGGAGAGTCCAGATACAAGATCACCTACATCATCGGTAAGTTACATTAGGTAGCCCCATACATTGTTGAATTGGTACTTGGACTGAAAGGTTTCCAGAAATATCACCCCGGCTACTTTGGTCTGAGGTAGCAAAACAGACAAGACCTGGGTACGTTTCATTCTTAGGAATGACAGCATTTGATTTCTAACCATGTGACTGTATACGTACTAAACCAAAGTTGCCAGGAAAAAAACAACAGTGACAGCCAGCGTCTGGGGCCAATTTCGTATGGCTACTGAATCCAGTATTTTCAGAGTGAGAAAAATATGCGCTTAGCCAAAGCAGGGTACCAGCCAAAAGTGTTGTATAACGTGCATTGTCTGTGACTGGTTTTCAGCCATTTTTGCTGAGCACCACAACCTGCCTAGTACTATTATGTGCTTGTCAGTTATATGAAATTTAGCCCTAAGGAGGCTGATCAGGCAAAATAAATAATGAAGATAAACACATCACTTCGTAGGTGGTCACACTTACTTTGTATTTCAATTGTTATTGCCTGTATTTTTTGTGTTTGGTGTTTCAGGTCAGGAAAATGGCATCGGTGTGGAGAATCTCAGCGGGAGTGGCATGATTGCTGGAGGGTCGTCACGGGCCTATGAGGAGGTTATCACATTGAACTTGGTGAGATTTAGCAGGAATGCTTCAAGATTGGTTGATTGAAAATGAGCCATGCCGGGTTTTCACAGAGTGGGGGTTGTTTTGGTAATTTATTTTGAAGTATTGGACGTGCACGGGTGAAGTGTTGTTCATGGGTTTGCGTGGAAATTAACCAACTGAATCTGATTGGATTTGGTCCGGAGAATGGAATCCTTGGCAGGTTTATTGAGCTGAGGTTTTCAAAGTGTGTTTATTTGTTAATTTTTCAATTTGACACCAGTGTGGTTTGTTTCTGGTCGGTATTGGAACAATCACAGATGAATTTACTTAATCTGAATGTTAGTCAGGTTTTGGAGTTGACAGCATTGCTGGAGTAATCTTGTCGTGGTTTTTTTGGCATAAGCTTCAACTTTCTGTGTGATCATTCATCAGGTGACATGCAGGGCCATCGGCATCGGTTCCTACGTCGTGCGTCTTGGTCAGCGCATCGTTCAAGTGGATAACTCTCACATCATCCTGACTGGAGCAGGTGCCCTCAACAAGGTACGTCAGCATATTGGGTTCGGTCTTAGAACCTGTCTTTCACAGAAGAAAGAAGCAGCCTGTCATGGGATTAGAACCAGACACCTCTTTGATAACACACCTTAAAGCATGGATAAACTGAGGATTAATGTCACTAAGCTGCCATCGGGAAATATCATTTACCAAATATATATGAGTTAAGCAAGAAGTAGTCGGGAACCAGTCAGAATCATCATACATTACACTAAATGTTGGCTGGTAACCGATTCCTGTTTAGCAAATATTTTCAGTGCTGAGTCTTTGAGTAGCCGCTCAGTGCAGGAGGTACAGATCACTTGTGAATTTCTACCCATTTCAATTCCATTAGACAACGGTCTCTTGTCAAATAGACAGAAAAAAACAGCAGTTTGCGCCAGCAGGAGCATTTGCAAGGACGAATCAGGTTCATATATCATGCAACGGTTGTGGCATCAGATGCTGTGAAATGTTCCCTGTTTGTTGCGTAATGAAACACATTGTTTTCAACATGTTCTCTACTAAGGTGCTCGGACGAGAGGTGTACACGTCCAACAACCAGCTCGGAGGTATTCAGATCATGCACAAGAACGGAGTCACTCATGCCGTGGCGCAAGACGACTTCGAAGGTGTCTACACCATCCTGAAATGGTTGTCCTACATGCCCAAGGTAGGTCGGGGGGGTCTGTCTTGTGGTAGGATGTGGAGAGTCTTTCCATCCCACGTATCATTATTAGGCCACACCTAGGCATTGTTGCAGACAGCTGTTCTCCGCAGCATGTCAGTATCGAAAAACTAAAGTCATGGAGTACCGAAGCCTGACGACATTTTTACCGGGAAGTATAATTCAAACAAATGAAGTACGTATGCATTTTGATTCAAGGAATGGTTCTCACACTAATATCATTGACACATAATTGTGTGAGTGAGGAATTCACTTGGGCACTCTATAGCCAAGGACTGTCCTGTTCGGATTAAGGATCAAGGCTTGTCATGCACGTGCGGGTAAAGCAGGCTGATATGTGAGAGAGGATTCCACCTGTGGGTTGGATGTTGCAGTCCTCAGAAATTGTGTCTGCCATTTTTTTTCTCTTAAATGTCAATTTTACTCTAAGTGCTCAGCCCTTTAAGGTGGAACTTGGTGCGATTATAGCATTTATCAAATATTCCTTTTTACAATGTGGCATTTCAGTGTCGAGATGCAGGAGTTCCCATATTGCAAAGCATGGATCCCATAGATCGCGAGATTGAATTCATGCCGACGAAGGCTCCATACGATCCCAGGCACATGCTGGCCGGCCGATCCAACCCAGGTATTACTACAAGCAATTGACTGACAAATATTCACAGGCATGTGCCACATGTGAGACACTTGTTAACAATTTGAAATCAAAGTTATTCAACAAATTTGTCATGGAAATTAATTGCGCAAGAACAGACTCATTTTTGTAGAATCCCATCACGTTCTGTGGAAGATGCAAAGAAATATTGAATGAACTTTAAATCCTGCAGAACAGTTCATCACAAGCAGACAAGTTTTCTCAGCGATGTACCGTATCGTACAAACCTCCCAGTCATATGAGGTGTGCGTGTAATGTTTCAGACAATCTCGTCCTGTAATTTTCAGAGAATCCTCATGAGTGGCAGACGGGGTTCTTTGACCGGGGTTCCTTCATGGAGGTCATGGAAGCGTGGGCTCAAACTGTCGTAGTTGGACGAGCAAAGTAAGTCGATCAATCTGGAATGGAAGTTTCTAGATAAGTTGGGTCTGGCTTTCATTTTAACTGACAGGCAAGATTGATCAATTGCCTATGGTTTGTTGTTCGACCAATGTCGTCCGAACGATGGACGGCTTGGACCACCTATTCAACCATTTAGAACTTTGGTTATGCTCATCATAAGGTGATTTTCTTTTATAAGTATGGAGGGAACCATTCACATTAAAATAACTGCATGAGGTGTCATTGAGTATTATTGCTGTGAGAACTGCAGCCAACAGCCAAATGTGAGTAACAGTGAGTTTTTACAAAACAGTTTGATTAGGATCATTTGAGTGTGACTGTACTACATGTGTGCACAATTAAGCAGCAGTTAACCAGCGGTTGAATTATAGTTAACGGCTGAGCATACCCCATACTGACCTTTCTTCAACTTAAACGAACTGCTCTTTGTTCTCACCGATGTTTGAGAACATATACTTTGTTGGAAGCTACGACTGATTGAGCATGGGTGCTTTACATCTTACTCTAGGTTGGGTGGTATACCCGTTGGTGTGGTTGCCGTGGAAACACGCACTGTCAATGTGGATATCCCAGCAGACCCTGGCAACCCAGACTCCGAGGCAAAGGTAAGATAGTCTGTCACCCTTTCAAAGGTTCTAACAAAACAGGAGCGTTTAAGCTGGTGAAAATCTTATGTTAGCGGAACAAACCAAAAAAACTGACATACTGTTTAAGGTCCTTTGTTCAGTTTAATTTGGGCCCCTTGTTGTATATCTGAAGAATTGTGTAAGATTGTTACAGTGCGGAATGTTGGACCTCCAAAATGGCAAGCAGTAATGAGTCACAACAGACTGAGACAAAACTCACATTTAAAGTTTTTCTTAATTACAGTCAATAGCCCAAGCGGGTACCGTCTGGTTCCCAGACTCTGCTTTCAAGACAGCACAGGCTATCAAGGACTTTGGCCGGGAGCAGCTGCCGCTGATTGTCTTTGCAAACTGGAGAGGTTTCTCGGGTGGAATGAAAGGTGAGACTTCGTATCGTCGAAGGAGTTGGCAGAAGGGTGGGGCTTTTAATGGTAAAGTTTTGGCTCTGGGCAGTGGTGCTGAGTTCTGTGCATAAACTGGCATGAACTATAAACCTGCAAGATGAATTTATGCTTAATCAGTGGTATTTTTCGTTTTCTGCTCTCTCTGTTTAGACATGTACGAGCAAGTTCTCAAGTATGGTTCCTACATCGTTGATGCACTGTGTGAATACAAGCAGCCAGTGATGGTGTACATACCGCCTAATGGTGAGCTGAGAGGAGGCTCATGGGTAGTGATTGATTCTACCATCAATCCTCAGTACATGGAGATGTATGCCGATCAGGATAGCAGGTGAGGTTAACGAAACTTCTGACAGCTTAGACCACAAAGAGGAGTGTTAGAAATCCTCCTTTCTCTCTGTAATCATTTTTCTTTTCTGTGCTCAAGGGTTTTTACCCTTCCCTTGTGGTTTGTGTCTTGGGGGAATCCATTTGTTATCTATTGCTGTATTAATTTGGGTCATTTGTACAAATTGCCTGTAATCCTTACCTGGTAGTTGCAAGATAATCAGGGTTTTTGTCACTTTCTTGTCATCTTTTTGAAATTCCAATTCCTTAAGTTCAAGACAAATAGATTGTTTTTCTTCATGTTTTTGATTCCTGTAATGCTTTTCAGTAATGTGAACATCAATTTAAGTTTGGGACATTATTTCCATTTGACCGATCCTTTAGAGAGTACTTTTTGATTGAATGGGTTTCCCCTCATTAAATATGTGCTTTTTATGAAACTAAAAACCCATTTTGCCCGTTTTAGGGGCGGAGTGTTGGAGCCCGAGGGGACCGTAGAGATCAAGTTCCGTAAGAAGGACCAAGTGAAGGTGATGCGGCGTATTGATGAGACCTGTATTTCGCTACTGAGTGAGATTGCCGCCCCGGGTATCAACCGAGAGGAGAAAGCAGGTGGGTAAATTCTGAAAGAAAAGTCCCAGATCATGCCGACGAATCCTGTCACGTAATCACTTCACTCCAAGAACATTGTAATTACGGACCGACCTCTGTGAACTACAACTTCACTCGGCTAAATACTTACCACTTAAGTCACACTTCAGCAGTGCTAAATTGGAGCTGGACCTAGTAGAGTATTTATGTATCTTTTTAATACAGAGCAGATTTTGTCTTTACCTCACAACACTGGTCATCAGAAGCTTTTTGATTTTGCTCTGCACCTGTCACTTCCATTACCTTGTGTCGGAACATTCGTCTGCCAGCCCAGTGTAATTTTGACCATTTAACTTATGCCTGCCAGCCCTTGAAAAGAAATTGAAGGACCGTGAGGATTTCCTGCTACCCATCTACCACACCGTGGCCGTCCAGTTTGCTGATCTTCACGACCGTGCCGGCAGAATGCAGGAGAAGCAAGTCATCTCTGTAAGTTCCTGCTTCGTGTTTCGTATCTTGGATACCGTCATTGTCCTTCACCCAGGATAGGTTATGTTGCCCAACTCCAGATCCCACACCCAGGATATTTCCATGCAATGCCACCGAATCAACTACTCGCCGCCAAACTAGCTCACATCAGTCTCTACTCCTCCCTCCCCAGGATGTTCTGCAGTGGTCGACATCGCGGACTTTCTTCTACTGGCGTCTGCGCCGTCTCCTGCTTGAGAATAAGATGTGTGGCCGCATTCAGCAGGTCAACGAGAAGCTGTCGAGGGGAGAAGTCTTTGCAATGCTGAGGAGGGTGTTCATGGAGGACAAGGGCACGGTCAATGTACGTACAACAAGATGAGAATCCTGTGATTCGGTGTTTATTCCTAGTGCAGTGTGTTGATTACAGAGACTGCAGAAGGCTATGAGCGGCTAATTCCCTAAAGGAAGGGCAGGCTGTGTCCAAAAAATATGGTTTTGGCTAGAAATAACATTCAGACTCACAGAAGCAGTTGGCTACCCACTGCAGTCATTTCTCATAGACGTGATGTTTCCAGCCATAGCCACTTGATTTAGACATAGCCACGGATTTGGTGTATGCATTAGTTTTTGCCAATTTTCAATTGAATACGCACAATTTTTTCACAAATCCTTGTGAATGGTGTGCATCTGTTTATGGGCACAAGAACAAGAGAAAGTGTGAACAAGTATCCCTCTTAGCAGTAGTGTTTGATTTTTCACTTCTATCAACAGACTGGATATGACAAAAGTTAAAGGAAAAAAAGACGTCTGGAAGAAAAAGTTCACAGCCAGACTCTGAAAGCCAGATTTGGAGAATAGATAATGGAACAAGTAGAAACCTGCACTGTTGCCAAACAACAGTTTCCGACTCTAAGAAACTCCCTGCGTACTGCATGCATATTGGGCACTCTCTCCGTCCACATTCAAACACAAAAATGTCATCCAATCAAAATTGTTCTTTTTCAACCATGCATAGTCGTATCTGTGGGAGGACAATAAGGCTGTTGCCGATTGGCTGTTGGAGCAAGAGAGGCAGGAGAAAGACGAGGGCCAGTCGGCCATCCTGGATAACATTAAAGCCGTCAAGAGGGACCAAGTCATCCATCAGATCAGAAGGTAAGCCTCACTCCTGAGAATCTTGCCGTATTTTGCCTTCATTCCAATCCTTCAAGGATATCTTTATGGATAGACCGTAGTTCATGAATCTTTTTCACATGGGACTTAGAAAACAGTCAAGGAGACCAGTCATGTTAGTAGCACACCTGCCATCTGTTCTGATTTCTGCACTATTTGCAGAAAAAGAGGGCCCTATTTGCTATGTCAAAATGGCAGTTGCTACATTCACATATGTACATGTGTGTACACATAAATAGCTTCGTGCACAGCTGCTTGTTTCCGAGCTGAAGTGCACCCCCAATCGGCGAAAGAATGACAGGTGGTTACAAGTGGGTTCTCGCACGCGTTCTGCGTGTACGCAAAGACCATACCTGCCGCAATAAATTAGTCACGCGGGCTAAGGGTGCCCCGTGTCAAACGCACATACACTTGCGCACCTCATGGCGCACACCTATGCAGTGAGTACCAAAAAAATACGCCCTCTTTTGTTCCGCTCTGAGCAGATAGGCTCTGACTTGTCAATGTTGGCAGGTATGTAGTAGTGCTTCATTGACAGTCTGAAATGTTAAACATTACGTAAACGCTTCAAAACCTAATCGCTTCAAAACCTTATCCCCTCAAAGGCTGTGGAGTGAAACTGACCGCAATTTCCTGTTTTTTTAGCGTTCACAGTCATAAAGGGACGAACACAAAACTGACTTCCCACGTTGATGTTGAAATACAAATCCCTTCAGTGTGCACATGACCTCTAGTTTCAACCCAGCTACATCTTACTTGCTGATATAATATATAGAACAGGTTTGGGGTCTTCGACTTATGGCACCAATTTAACGCACTGCTAACACGTTGGTTTATGCTTAGTGTTTTTTATTGTACTCTTGATTGGATGCCATTATTTTCCCAGCTTTGAAAGGCCTTACTGTGAGTTTCAGCAGTGTTACTTCCGTCTCCTTCCACAGGATTATTCAGGATAACCCCGAGGTTGCCATGGATTCCATTGTGCACATCAGTCAACAACTCAACCCCAGTCAGAAGGCCGAAGTGATGAGAGTGCTGTCCACAGTGGGGTCACATGACTCCAGCTAGCCAGTAGGCAACAGTCTCCTAATCAGAGTATTGGTCACATGACTCCGTTCAAAAACAAAAGTAGTTATCTATCTAATCAGTAGACAGAAGTAATGAACATCACTTGACATCAGCTGGATATTAACAGTCAACTACCTAATCAGTGGACACAAGTAGTGACCAAATGGTTACTTGACTTCCTTGAGATGATAGTCAACCACCTAAGCAGTGGGCACAAGCAGTGACCGTATGGTTACTTGGCTTCTGTGAGATGATAATCTATAACCTAATCAGTGGATATCAGCAATGACAGAAGGGTCACGTGACTCCAGCTAGACAGGACAGAAAGTACCTAGCGTGTGAATAATGACATGACTCTAGCTAATTAACATGCAACAACCTAACCATTGGACATGGGTATGGAACGACAGTGGAGTCATATGAAGTACAACTGGATGATGTTTGGGCAGACTAAAAACACTGTGACCATGCTTTAACACTAACCCCCTAGGATGTATGTAAAATCGTATTGAAATTGGAGGATTTGGGACTGTTAGGGTTAATCAACCAAGCTCATTAGCACACATGATGGCTTCTCTAACGCAGTTTTAGTAGTTTAACCCGAACAGGGCTAAAATCCTCCGATTTCAATCTGATTTTACACACCCCTGAGAAAGTTAAACAGATGAGCATTGCCCCTCTCAGGGAATGCTGAAATTTACCAATAGCTCATGCGCCCCTGCGAGTGCCTCACCCGTGCACTTGGGGGCAGCACCCGGCAGCATAAGCATCGTCCACTCCATGCGAGAGCTGATGTGTGGCATTTATACATCAGTACTAACATATCCACACTGACCTCAATTGTCATTATGCTTATGTAACGGGGGAAAAGGACACGCTACGGGGGAACTCGCAAAACAGCAAAAATTTCTAACTAAACCAAGGGTCTTTGAGGAAAATTTGCAGGAAACTGAATCAATAAGGACTCGGATATCAATATTTGATTTCAAAAAAAGGACGCAAAAGAACTTATTAATGAAAAAGAACCCCCCCCCCAATGCAAAAACCCCAAAAGACTAAAATCCAACACATTGTGTCAGAATAGATCGAAGAGTTTGGCTTTCGATCACACTGATTCATAGAAGCAGACAAAAACCTGACTCGAGTAGAAACGTACACTCCAGTAAGAAAGAACAAATACATGAACAGTGCTATTCTGCTCTTAGACCAGTGTGGCCAGAGCATGGGGGGATCAAGTTATATGGGTAGAAGCAAGGGCCAAAGTAAATAAACAGGGGGATAAACTAACAGACAAATACAGGGGAACTCTAAAACAAAAACTCTATTATTCCAGGGGACTCCTCCTATGAAAAGACACAAAAAGTATAACAAATTTCTAGCTCTACCACACTTGCACATTGCCTTCAGCAATTCTTGCACAGCTGTTGTCACAATGATGCCTTGACATATCCTGCTCTTCATTTGATGTCTCGCGTGGGAGGTTAGGGTATCCCATCTTTCCCTTTTTTTCAATTCTTAATTTCATGACTCTTCATCAAAATCCACTATTGAATCTCTGTGTACTTTTACAAAGACACATGAAGATTTTTGCTTTTGTATCAATTCCTATTTCATTTTGTATATAGTAAGTGCACCATTCAGGCACACTGCAAATGTAGTGGTGTTGTGCTTGACTCTGGTTTCTTGAATCTGACCGGTAGGTCTCTGTTTGATTTGACTTATGCAATTTCATCCGAGTTGAAATACAGGGTTCCGGTTGATTGATGTTGCACTATGACCAAGTTTAATACGCTGAATGTGAAGTGTACAGTAGAGAAGACATGTTGAAGTAAAAACAGCACTATAAAATATTTATGATGGGTAAAGTTCCCACAAATGTGACAGGTTCTAGAAAAATGGGTACTAAGTCGCCAGTTTCAGGTTACGAGTTTTTGATACAGCTGGATTCTGTACATCAAAAGCTACAATTTGATATATGAATGACCCCTGCAGTGCGCTGCATTCCGGGAATATGTAGACATTTGAATATCCACATTTTCAGATTCAATAAAAGCACTTTTAGCTCATAAAGTGTTGCGCTTGGAAATGCAATGCTATATAGCATTTCTTACTGATTGATCAATTTTTCATCTTTATTCATCAGTATCCATGTTTGTTGTCACAAATTCCGGAAATATAAATATTATAGAAGATATTTAAGGAAAAAACACATATCACACTTTTGAAGAAATGTTGCCCTCCCCAAAGAGAACAGACCATTATATGTTTTGGCATTGCCTGACTTAATACCCTTTTTTTGCAGAGCGGGTCACAAATGTCAGTAAACTTGATGTATTAGTGAATTGTCAGTGCATTTTGATTTTGAAGATACAACAGCTAATAATGATGCTGTTTTTTTATTAGGATGGGAGGTTTGGAACATTTGAGAATGTTTTCATGGAAACTCAGGGGAAAGGGCCTTGATCTGTTTTTATCACTTGTATTGATAGGCTGTGTGTTGCGTTTTCATTTTGTTATACAGAATAAGTTCAGAGAAAGTTCATATTTGGTTTAAACACAATTTAAAGCAGAGAAGAAAATTTATTTAAAATATGTGTCAAAAGTAGGGAGAAAAATAAGTATTCACATTCTTATCTATGCATTTGATTTTTCCCACAATTCCTTTCTATTTGTTCCACTTTATAAACGGTGTATGGCTTGTTTTGGCTCTACTTATTGTCAGCATGATCTTCCTACCTTTGACATCCAAGTAAGAATTTATAAATTTACAGTTTCATAATTTTGTTCAGTGTTTTGAAACTTCACCAATCAGCAGGTTTCTGCAGGGTGTGTGACTTTCGACTGGTAGGAGGAAGCAGTTATAGACAGAAGAGTGCATCACACGCAGCCATCTTAAGTCATTTGCGCACAAGTTTCAAAGATATAAACATGCTTTTTAGAAAAGTTAGGTCAAAAAGTCCTATCTTCATCGATACATATTGACATGAATTTGGATTTTGAAGAATTACAAATTGATGGAGAAAACACTTGCGCGGCTAGTTCTTTTTTACAAGCATGTTTAGAGTGGCCACAAATATGCACAATCCATTTAATTTTTTGTAATTTTTAAGTCTCAATAGATTCTATTTTGTAAGTTCGCTGGTATGAATTCAAAGATTGTAGAATATTGCAGAGCCGAATAATGTTATTCATTTTGTAATAAAAGAACTGTGAATCGTGAAGTACAAACGATGTGGAAATATTGCCATGGTTGTCAGGGTGGAATTTGAAAGGCCAGTCTTTACCCAAATTCTGATCTCTGGGAGCAAAAGGAGAATTTGCAGAAAATTCTGGGATAAGTTCGTTGTGGATTAAATCAATCCCTTCATCACATTCCGGTTTCATAAATCCCACCACTGCATGGCAAGAACCCCACACAATTTTCACTGTCGCAGAAACACTCCGACTGTTGGCCCTCATGTGTCTCATCGCTAGCTGCTTGTGGTGCATGATCGCCCCAATAGCTGTATGTCAATTCTTTGTGGGCATCGATATCCCTCCTGGCAAACATGGCCACTCTGGGTATGTCATTGTCAACTCTGACAGTAACCAGATACAAATTGGGCTGGCAGGAGTGATTAATAAACCGGCCAATGTTACCAATGTGGGTCAGATCAATTGGAGTTGTGATCACTGCCCCACTGGCCAATGACTCCCTCACAACCATTATAAAGTTCAAATCCTGCGGCTTCATTTCACCGGTTCTCTTCTGTGCCTCCTTGAGCGTCAGAACCTCCCCTGCATATTCGCACACAAATCTGTCCTTGGGTATGGGAACCGGTGACTGCAGTCCGTAACCTTTTCTTGCTGTGGTGAAGACGTGGAGTGGGAATAGTGGGCCGTTCTGTATCACTCTGTTGATGCATTCAGGGCCACATTTGCAGCTGGCGTTGCACTCAAACACCGGCTGAGACTCGGTTGTACTCGGGCCCTTGATGAAATGCCCTGCGTTGTCGTAGTTCGCGCCATGTCGGGTGATGCAAGGGCACTGCAGTGTACACGATGGTGCGACACAGTTGCATCCTTCGTAGATGATTTCGCTCGGGTGTTTATCCAATCCTGGCCCAGGGACATGTGTCGGTGTATACTGGGGATTGGATGAGGAAGAGCAAATGCTACTGTTTGACAGGCAGCGTTATTCAAAACAATGTTGAAATTAATTAGAAACCATGCCGAGGGAACATGGAGGGGATGTACACCAAGCAAGTTTTCTCTTGACCCCTGCACGACCCCCCCACTGGCCCCACAACACAATAAATGTGGTAGGATTATCAAAAGGGAGCACCACTTTTTCACCCACCCTACCCGTGACAAAAACAGTAGTAACATTATTATTTATGTCCTTTTACCAAATATAATATGGCCATATGTGATTAGCCTCACCCATCCTCGGCTCTGACTTTGAAATGAACTCTCAAATTCAGTGCCTTTGCTTTAACCTGATGTCTGAATCCACTAGTTGTACTAATTGAGTTGAGTCAATCATCTACTTGAGTTCAACTTGATTGACAGCTTTCTGCAACTTGACTTGGTCAAGTCCCGATGGGTAAATGACTCGAGTCACTACGAGCAAATGACATGATGCGAGTCCCTCATCAAAAGACCCAAAGTGGGGGAAGTTAATAAGACTTGAGCCCCAAAAATACAAGCAAACTTCTTGTGAAAAAAAAAAGATTTGCAATGACTTACAGTGCTGGTTTATAATGTTCCTGTCATTATCAAGAGTGACGTGTCCACTTGTAGTAACCCAGAGGTAAAATTAAAAAGGCCCTAAAAAGGCCCTCGTTTTTATTATCAATTGTTAAAGTGTTCAAAGATTTGTGACTCAAGTTAAATACCTGACTCAACTCGAGACAAGTTTATATGTAAAGAAGTCAAGTCGATCGACCTGACTTCTTGTCACATACACGTATAAACTTGTTTCGAGTCACCATGTTCCAGCGACCTGAATCAAGTCATTAACTACTAACAATGGTTTGACTTGAGTCACAAATATTTAGTGACCCACTTCACCACTGGAATCTACCCTATTTTGTCAGATTTTGTTTAGATTCCGGGGATGATAACTTTTGGCATGAACTAAACTGCAAGAGAGATATTGAAATGAAAGACATCCTTTACAATAGAGGGCGCCCTTGTACCCACTTTGACAGTCCAGACTCGACTTCAGAGCTGGCTGTGGTGGTCTAGACCCGACCATGCATAACCGCCTCCCTGTAGTGCTAGTGTGGTTGTCAATGATTGGAAGTGGAACGTGTGGTTCTCGATAATTTGCCGGCTTCGCGGTCCATTACACTGAAATATCATTCACATGAAGTGCCAAGACATATAGGATCAAAGTTTTAACCACATATTATGGTTTAAACGGTGAGTAAATCTAGGTTGTTTTATCCTTGTCCAGCAAAGCGTTGACACGTGCATGTATGTGTCAGAATACAGAGACAATTACCAGATTGCAGTAATTTCGTTGGTTCGGCTTTCCTTACCTTAAAATTGATCTCTGCTGGTAAGATAACATTGTCGGTACTCTGTGGTGATATTAGGTGATTCATGTTCTAAAGATGTTCACCGAATTGTGAGCAGAGTCGCGAGAGAGTAGAATTTTAGCAGTGGCTTGAGCATGTTGAGGATTGGGCAAATGTGACTCATCTCTGTGTAAACAGCTTGGTGCCTTTTCAACTTTTCCCTTATTTGATTGCATGACGTCTGGGCACCGTGCAGCGAAGTAAACAGCCAATAAATTACAATTTACATGAAATTTTGTTTCCTTATCCTAGCTATAGCCCTAAAAGTCCCAAATCCTCCAATGTCAATATTACTTTACATACACCCAAAGGGGTTAGGGTTAAAGTTCATTGTTCCAGGACAGCGATTTCCTAACTGTAACGTTCACCCATTAGGCCTACCCAAATTAGCAGGAATGGTCTATGTATTCATAAAAAGAATATTATTTACAATTTGTTTCCAAATATAAAACACGTTATCTAGGCTAGGCCTGCAAATAATATTTTACATTGACAATACACTTCTGGTTCTTTTTGTAAGAGTTATTCAGTTGTTACTTTTATATAATGTGATTTGCTTTTGTAATCTTACAAAACACGATAAAGACAAAATGGAGCGCTGCCTCTGGAAAACAGCTCAGAAAATCATACCTGTAGGTCTGGAATAACCCACCCTTGAAAGTCCATACAGTGATAAAAACTAAGGTACATGTAAATATTATGAAGGTCCCATCTCCCCCTTTGTTTAATAATTGTAATTCTAAAAAATCAGGATTGTGCTTGTGTGTTCCCTCAACATTAAAAATCACAATAGAGTAGGCAGTCAATTGCACTGGAATCAATTCACTTCACATGTGAAACAAATTTGTAATTATGGATAACAGTTTTGTAAAGTTATGTACAAACAATCATCCGTTGCTGCAAAATAATTCTTAGAAGAGTGAATCAAGTCGATACAGGTAATTAACATGATTGAATAATATTCATGAGAAGCAGAACACACAAAAATGGCCAGGTGATCGTCGGGCGAGAACTCAACCTGGTCACAGGAGCCACCAGATTGCTGTAAAAAATTGGATATGGGAGACGGAGTTTAATTTTTTTATCTTTCACAATAAAATTATGAGTAATAGATCAGTATGAAAACTACACCTAAAGAAATTTCCTTTGAACTCCAAAGCTCCTGGTTTAAATTAAATTGATTTTATATTTATGATTCAAAGCAATTAGTTTGTCCTAAAACAGAAACTGAAATTGTCTTCTCTACATACTCTCATATGACTTCAAATAATCTGGTAACCATGGCTGAATCAGCAAATACAAATGTAGATTACTTAAAACAGTACAAAGGAAAAGGCTTGGTTTGTTTTGGTTCTAAAGGAACCATCAGTCTTAAAATTAATATTAGAGAGACAACAAACCATACAATGCGGAGTTGTGTAGACACAGAGCTCATCATTTCTGTAATAACAGTTTGTAATCTTTAACAGCTGGAAGATTTTAACTAAAAACGGTATTTGTAAAAATTGTGCAAACGGAGTTACTGTTCCCAAGAGGACAGACAAAATATTTGCTAAATGACAGAATCAAACTGTCAAAAACTTTGGTGAAGTGATCTTGTGATCTTAAATTTCAAATGACAGGTAACAATAAACAGTGTAACTAGTCTGACCATGGACGGTCCAACGCCCTCCAAGCAGTTTAAGATCTCTGATGCTCCCACAAACACTGAACACAGTCCAGTGGAGGATCCTCCCTCCACGAAGTCACAGCCCAGCTCCTCGTCAAAGCTAGACCCCTCAGAGCAGGAGTCCACGCTGGACATTCTCGAACAAATTGACATCTGCCAGGGAGAGCTGGAAAACCTGAATGAGGAGGCGAGTGAGGAAATCATCCGCATCGAAGAGAAGTTCAACCGGCTTCGCCAGCCCCACATTGACAGACGTAACGAGTTCATCAAGAAAATCCCTAATTTTTGGGTCTGCACCGTATCCTTTTCAACAGTTCATGTCCAGTTGACTGAATCGATTGGACATACTATGCTAGGTCCAAAATTTGAAATGAATGTCCAAACCTACATGCAGTTTTTCCAAAGATTCCTCTGAAACTTTAAAACAAATCAGCTCTTTGTATTTGGAAGGGATTGTTAAACATAGGCCCAATTTCAGGGTTTCCATGGTTATGCAAAATCCTTAAAAATCGTGGGAAGAAGTCTAGAAAAGTCTTGCAAGATTGGTCAAAATTGGTTGTCCTGGAAACTGTTTGTCAGAGGAAAAAGTCATGGAATCAAGATAAGATCTACTTTGGATGAGATAACAGACTACATGTAATGATAAATTTACATGCTGTATTTTTGTCACTCAGTAGAAGTGGTGATGACAGTCTTCCTGTTCAAAATACCAAAAAGCTTTTCTCTGCAAAATGGCATTAAATGTCATGGAAATTGTTATATTTTAGTCTTGGAAGCCCTGGAAAGGCTTGTAAATTTGATATCAGATTTCTGTTGGAACCCTAAATTTCATTGAGCTGTTAATTATAAAATACTGCTCACCAAGTTTACGTGCTGAGCAAAATTCATCCTGGAACAGTGTTGGAGAGTATGAAAAATCTGTGAATTTAAGCTGGTTACCCACTTCTGCTGAGCAAGTACAAGTCCCTGTTTATTTCCCTTAATTTTGCCACTGGTAGTTTGTCAATCATCCACAGCTTGCCCCGAGACTAAGCGAGGAAGACGAGGAGTGTCTCCACTACCTCCGTCAGCTCATCGTCCACAATTACGACGACCTCAAGACTGGCTATAGCATCACCTTCCACTTTACCAAGAATCCATTCTTCGAGAACGAAACAATAAGCAAGGAATTTAGTCTGACTGAGGATGGTGAGCACATTTAGGAAAAAAAGGGTTGTATTCAGTACAGTTTCAGAGGCCATTGCAGTGTTATTATTTTGACCCTAACAGGGCTAGATCCTCGGATTTCAATATGATTTTATGTACACCCTACAACCCTAACCTTCCCAAATCCTGTGGAAACCCACTGACTAAACTATGCAGCTGATTTTGAAAGATGTATTGTGTCAAAGTCTTTGGTTTCAAATAGACCATACGTTGTTTATTCCCAACCATGCATAAATTTAGGCCTAGATTATATATGAAAATTATCCGCACTGCCCCAGGCTACTATTTGCGTTTCCTTAATACAGCGACTGGAATTGTCAGATGTGTTTAAAGGATTGAGGCAATGGATATAACTCCAAGGAACGCTTTCAAGAAATAATGGAAGATTTTGCATTTTTTCCTCAGGTTCTTGAAAGGTAATTTGGTGTCATTGGTTTCTGTGTAATTGAATGAAAATTTGCATATTTATATGCTAGTGTGTGATAACATTTGAAGCAGAACCCCTATGAAGTCTTTTGCAAGTTAGATCAGAATAAAATTTGGTACACTGAGTTCTTTAATTCACGTGAACATAACAATTTGAATTCTCCATACTGAAGACACTGTTGCTGTACGCCGTGATTCGGGGCAAGCTTTTGCTCAGTTACATAAGAGACGCCTTGCACCACTACACTGTTTTGAATGGATGAGAAGGGCACAAAGGAACCAGTCCATTCTAGAGATGGTGGTCACTATGCAAAAGCTTGCCCCGAATCACGAGGTATAGCAACAGTGTTCTTTAGTCTGGGGAATTCAAATCGTTATGTTGATGTGCAGTCAGATAACTCAGTGTACCAGATTTTAATCAAATTTAACTCGCAAAAAGGCTTATTTACAGCTGTTTTAGGCTCATTAAAAAGTTGTTAGAAATATTGATATTTTGCTGAAGTGGATTTTCTTGATTTTGACTTGGCATTCCTTTCTCATAAATGTTTTTTCTGTGAGCAAAATTTTGGGTTCACAATTTAATCTTAAAAATCCCCAAACTGAAAAGTGTCCTCCTCAAAATGACATCACTGCAATAGCAACCTCAGATATCCAGAAGAGTATGGAAAATTCTAAATGTTTGAAGAAATTCAATTCTCGGTACGGTTAACCAAAAAGGTGACACAAAATGGGTTTCATACATTTAAGAAGAGTAGAAAGTTTTTCAAAGTGTGTACCTCGGAAAAATTCATCCCGTGGACCCACTTTACCAGGAAGTCGGCAAGACACCTCAACATTTTTGACCTGCATGATGTCATTTCCATCAGTTTACATTAATTGATTGATTTCTTATCTAGGGGAACCTACAAGCAAATCCAGTAAGATTCGTTGGAAGCCCGGAATGGACATTACCAAGAAGATGAGGTCAAAGGGAAAGGTCAGCGTGCCGTGTGCTAGTTTCTTTGGTTGGTTCAGTGATCATCTTGATGCTGGCAATGACGAAATTGCAGATGTAAGTCAATACTAAAGCATCCATTTTCATGGATCACTATTACCTGTAGCACTATTATGCTGGCAATGACGAAATTGCAGATGTAAGTCAATACTAAAGCATCCATTTTCATGGACCACTATTACCTGTACGTTTTGTAGCAAATGCGCTTTGCAGAAAAGCACAGGAGAACCATTAACCCCTTGACAACGGGAATTTTTTTCCAAAAGCCGACTCCAAGAATTCCAGCCTCGCTTGGCCACGAAGGCCACCTGCCAAACTGCAAATTCTGGGTTTGTGGCCCTGCGTGCTCTGCATGCTTTGAATTACACAGTGAAAAGGCTCATTGTTCAATGGCATGCGGCTCTACTCACACTTCCACTTTCCCATTGCCTCTTTTCAAAGTGGGGACTATTGTGAAGCTGGTGATTATGATGCAGATTCGGTCTTCTCATTTCTTGGCTACACACAAAGGCCAATCACCATATATACAAGAGCCAGGGTCTGCCTTCTTTCACCGTGTTCGCTCGAGCGTGGACCAAGAATAATAACTGTAAAGCGGGCTGAGAAACTCAACTTTTACAGCGGTTCTTACTGTCTCCTGGTGCAAAGGGGTTAAATGGCCATTAAATTACATGAAGGTTTGGCTAGCGACCATTACTTTGTCAAGCACGTCTTTCTGTGCGTAGTATGATTCTGTACTTATAAACCCCTGGGGATTTCATGCTGGGCAGTGGCTCGAGTACCAGTCTCCAAGTTCATAAGATTCCTTGAGTACAAGCAGCAACATTGGGCAAGTGTCAGTGAGAGACTTTGAGATGCTGGAGGCAGTAAATACACAGGTCCTTTTTCAAGGTGTTGCACGTGCTCAGAACAATGCATGCATGCTCAGAACAGGTAAAAAGGACCGGTATGTTTGTCGCCACCAAGGGTCTCAAAGTCTCCCATTGTCAGGAATGGGTTCTGAGATTTCGCTTCCCTTGAATAGTTATTTCCTGTTAAAGGTCAGGCAATTACGTCATGCGGCTTGATGTTTTTTCTTGTTTCATATCAGGTTCTTCGAGATGACCTTTGGAGCAATCCTTTACAGTATTACTTGATCCCTGACGTTGATGATTCACTCGACAAGTCAAGGCTCATGGACTCTCTCATGTGCAGGTATTTATCCCTGCAGCTCATTAACCTAAGAAAGCCCCAGAGATGAGGAAAGCTCTTTCCCAGAGCATGTTAAACAAGCTGGTGCATTCTTTCAGTTTGTAATTTGGTTGGTTTGGTCAAAAGGCAAAGTTGTGAGGAGTTGGAGAGTTAGTTTCAGTGTTTATTTACGGTTCGACTATGGACATGATGCGAGTCCTTCATGCTGTTCAGTTGGATTCTAAGCTCAGATATGGACAGTGCAGGAACTTTTTTCTTCAACTCTCTGATCTGATTGTGCTTTTTTGATTTTGTTAGGAAGAAACGTGCAATTCCAGGTCAAACGTTGGGCCAGTGAGGTTTGTGTAATCTTCAACAAGAGTCTGCTTGGCACGAAAAAAATGGGTTTTGAAGTTGACTGTGGCTTGAGGTCATCTTTGCCCTTTTTTTTTTAGATCGTACTGGAGCAGTTTTTCACTGTTTTTAGGGACTGGTGAGCAGGAATGATACAGTGTAAAGCACATTAAGAAGTGTAAGAATTTTTTTCTGACTAACATTGCTGCTGTGTCGTACACCACACACTCATCCTTCTTGGGGAAATCGATCATTCTCTGCTTCTGGCCCAGTCCTCTGTAACACACTCCTACTTAGCCTAAGATTGGAATCTTGTTATGATGAATTTCAATCTCAACTGAAAACTGACCTTTTGCGTAATTAACTTCTTGGCTTATTTGCATATATTATACTTTGTAAATCTCTTTCTATTATCTCATTATGGTTTGCCAACTACTCTATAGTATTGTTTCACCTCCCTTAATTTTGCGCCAGGTTCTAGTTCTGACAGATATGGCACGGTATAAATTTACATTATTATTATTATTTATTTATTTGCATCCCTCCTTCAGTGATGATGAGAGTAACAGTATCAATAGGAGAGTCGAGGAGCCAGGACCACGTCCCATCACTGGTAAGAAAGACATCAACAACGACTCTGCAATTGGAGAGAGCCATCCGTCAAGCCAGAGTAAGCAAAAGATTCATTAGACAAACCAACAACGTGCCTTACATGTGTGTCAGCTGCTCTGATCGAATTGGTGCTTGATGCTGTCAAAGTTGCTCAGCTACGCTCCTCAGAATTCTTTTGTGTGTTATATCGTTGACACTAAAAAGATTATCTACTGTTCACTCATCAAAATGGCATGTGAGAATAACTCTAGTGCCTCCCGACAGCTCTCCATCTAAAGCAGGTTGCGGTTTTCCAGATCTTCAACAAGTTTTTCAGATATGCTAGTGAGGGAAAAAACATTAATGATGCAGAGATACAATAGAAAAGGGGCTTTCCTGTCATTTTTTTTTTTTTGGCAGGCAACGATAAATCACCAGAGGACGATTCAGTGAACAAGAGCAGCGTGGAGGATTGTAAAGACACAGTCCAAAATGATGCATCCTAAGGATGTACTTTGTGCATGTGTGCAGTATTAGTCATTTGTTTTCATATTTCTGGCCAGCATTTATGCAGTTCAACAAAAACTGGTGAGTATTTGTAGGTATCTCGGCATGAACTTGACCGAGAATGTTTTAGGTCACGGGATTGTCAGTTAGTTCGTCACTGGTATTTGACTCCGCATCACACGTAAGGACGATTATACTGCAGAGAGGAGAGAGACCAGCAACACGATATGAACCCTGACCTTCTGGTCTAGGCTCACCAAGTCCAGGAACTCGGGCCGTTCTTTTCAAACTTTAGCTTTGTCTCAGTCCTTAGTGCCGAGCACCAAATATTCACCTGACTTTTGACAGTTCGGCTCAATTTACTTACTTCTATTCATTTGATCTGAACCAGTGTTGTAGTCGAGTACCTTTCAACTACCAAATATTTTACTAGTTAGGAGGGAACAAAGCTGAGGTACATGGACATTTGATGGCACATGTACAAAGGTAAGATTACACAGTAATGTGATGACTTCAGACTTCATATTGGTGGTCTTGTCAGGTGTATCAATGCATAGCTCTGTGTTGCTCTGTGCAAAGAAAAATTGGAGAATTCTTCCAAACCTCCCCATTCATTTGGTCAGTGCCATTTTGAAAAAAGTCTAGAAAAAACTTTTCCCCAGTTAGTACTGTAAAATTTCTCAGCATCTTAGCAATGTTAAACTTCTCCATAAAAGGTTGTACTGAGCCGACTTTGCACAGTGTTTGACATATACAGACACGGGATTAGTTTAATTCTCCCCTCCTCGTTGTGGCAAAGAGAGGTCTCTTCACCCTCAAGTTGTCTGTTAAAATCCAGTATATTTTAAATTCCCCCTCCCTGAATGAAAATCCTGGCAAGATCACTGACAGAACCACTCTCTCTTGTATTGATTATTTTGTAACTACAAAAGCCTTGTAGATGTGGATATATGTGTTGTTTTTTTTAACTGTCTGGAAGTACATCCTCCACTTTGGATGGCTTGTGTGTACTTGAATCGCTTGGGTGTTTTAAGCAAGTCAAGAACACTGCCTCTGAAGTCTTGCATTATCAGGGGCAATTTCCATTGCTTGATATCATTGTCATCTTGACAGCTCCAGCTTTTGAATATCACTTGTCCGATTTTAGAAATGCAGTGACCAATTTCAGGAAAACTTGGCTTGACCTGAAAAACATCCAAGCTTCGAATGTTAGAAACATCTTGCCATATAGGACAAGCATTTTCAAAAGCCATGATCCCTAGTGCGTCACACTGCGGTATGTCACACTGTCGCACATGAATGGGCACTGTTCCCTTATGCACTAAAGGGACAAAAATGTCGCAGTCTGCATGAAGTTTACAGATGCTCAAGATATCGAGCACACACACTCAATCTGGTTCGTACCCCAAGGAAAAAAAGATGAAAGTGATAATGGAACCCTAATATAAATACAAGGTGGCAGATTTGCGTCTTCGCCATTTATGTTTTAAGTCAAGGACTGAAACCGACTGCATTGGCACTTATGTACTGGTATTTCACTTGAAGCTTTAATGTGGAACTCCTTAATGCAGTGTGCAACCTACCAGCCTTGAGATTGACTCCTTTTCTACGCCCGTCTCTCAAGTGCTAGGTGACATCAAAACACCTACTGTACATTGTTACATTGTAAAGTTTGTATTCATATTTGTAGTGTGTGCTTTTAATAATAGACCGATTGCCCCCCCCCCCGCTAAGTTACTGATCTTTGATAGCTATTATAGGTAACGTGACTTAGCACGCACAATCGGTCTATACCAAAACAAAGCAAATAACTTTATTTTAATTGTTACTGTTGGATAGCCTGCCAACACCATATTTATGTAGACATACGTGCATGCATTCTGGAAAATTTTGGTCTTTCTTGTGAATAGTATGGTAACTTGTAGAAAGCTTACTTGCTTTGCTAATGCATGTCGTCGACAGTCATCGTGGCATTTAACTGTCCCTGGGATAGCTAGCACCTTATGGCATGTGGAATTTTGGGAAGTGTTCTGGATTTCCCAGTAATATGCCCGGTGTATCAAATGTACAGTGCATTCTTCCCCTGCACTTACTGTGCAACTGTGAGCGCAACTGTGCTCAATTTGATACTCACATGACTTCTTGTCCTTACTTGAGCCTGGTTCAAGTAACATGCTGGCTTACATGTACGAGTCGAATGATGCATAGGAAAGTTGATTGTTGTAAATAGTTGAGAAAAATCATTGCATGTTATGGTAAACCGGCTCATGCATGTTCAGATGTCCACAGCAACTTGCTGTGGACGGTTCAAACTCACGTTTCAACTTCAATCTCTGCATGACCTGTGGGTCCAGTTTTGGCACTTCAGGTAACCGTCTATCACCACAGATTCAGCCTGTCCATATATGTTCCTGTGTTGGAATCACAGGCAAGTGCAAGGGAAGTGTTTGAATGAGCTAGTGCACAACTTCCAAACTTGATACAGGGTCTTTAGAATGTCATGGCACCAAAGGAGTATAATGTACAGATGTTTTTATGACCTGTGTTAACCTTTTTATCAGCGATGCATATGTGAAATGTTGCTGCAGTGCAGGAGCTATTTCTATGGTGGTGCTGAGCACAGAACCTTGCTAGGTGCAAGAGTTGTTTGTTTCATAAATTAATGTTCCCAAAACAAGACGTTGGCCTGAAAGTTCTGTACTGGTCCGATTCCCTGACTTCACTGTGTTCAAACAGACAGAGGTCTGCCCAGTTCTCACAATGCCCAGTTGGACTTCAGTTTTGCTCGCGTTTATGATGCTTGGGTGTATAATGGTCATGTATCATGGCTGTTGTTGCTCAGTGGCCAAATTCCATTAATACCGGAGATAGAGAACCAGACTATGTACATGTATGTTACACGGTCCTTGATAAATAAAACATTTATTAACCCTAACAGTCCAAAACCTTCCGATTTCAATATGATTTTACATATACCCTGGGGGGGGTTAGGGTTAAATAATATCCACAGAAATTCTCACCTGCAGCTGTTTTTGTGGATCTTTACCGGTGATATCACAAAGTCCAAAGACCAAAAATAAATGTAAACAAACTGTAAAATCACCTTTAAAAAATAGCATTTTATCATTACGGTTATTTTCAAACTTCAAAATGGCAGAATGAAGCTCATAGCTTGAAATATGTGCTCTAAACTACTAACCAACTACTATTAATTAATATTTGAAGTTCAGAGAGCCTACTGTTAGCGGTGTTCTGCTGCCTTGAATGGACATTCCATGTGTGAAGAATAAGACCATTTTTCCTTTAGATAAAAATTCCTCTCCTTTCAATGCAAGTTCATGTATTCAGATCTTAAACATCAGCTACCATTTTGCAAATTCATTTTATTTAAAACATCGATTAAATATTAACTGTACAATTTGGCAAAGATTTGTTTAAACGTAAGTACTTTCTGTCCCAAAAAATTGATTAAAGTTGTCCTTTTTGTAGCACAGTCACCACTGCTCAGAATTTCTTTATCTCAGATGTACCAGAACTCACTCTGGCATGATGTGAATCTATGATATGCGGTCTCTCTACGAACATGCGATACGTGTTTCATCTATTCCCTTGGAATACTGCGAGTATGAAAATTTATGCAATATATCGGCGTTGTAATGCAACATCGTTATTTTAGTTATTTTACACTAATAATTAAGCAGGAATCAAAATTCCAAAAGTGCATCATAAGTATCATATAAAGCAGCCACTTTTGTGTGAAATTGCACATATGTGTATAAGAAAGCATTACAGTAAAACTCATTATTCAAAATTTACTGAGTAGACATTATATGTATATAAAAAGACAGCTATTTAAAAATACTATTTGTGTGTACAGTCACGGTATCAGATAAATGTATGGCAGAATACTTTTTCCTAGTTGAATATGAAAGACCACAGAAGTGCAGAGAAAAAAAGTGACAGGTCTTACTGACCAGTTTCCAGTGATTCTATCAAAAATGAGAACCGTCAGATTTTTAAGGCTCCCTTTTAGGGCTGTACTGAGTATCGAAAGTGCCTTGTAAGATTTAGATAAAAAGATACATTCCCGTTTAAACTTTGGCAGCTCTGCATAGAAAAATATCTCATTACTTTAGCAATCAATCATTTATGTGGATGATAGACCGTGATCCCTCTGATGCTCTAAGAATTTCCAGCACACCAAAAATTATTTAAAAAAAAAACAGCTTTAGTCACAAAATGAATATTACAGACACCAGTTACTACACTCAAAGCATTAATGGTTTCTGATAATGGTTTCTGCTCTTACAGTGTATTAAAAATGTTGTTCCACTCTTTTAAAACTTATTTAAGATGTTTATAAATGATTAGCCAGAATTCTTTGGACAATTTTTTAAACGACCAACTTTCTGCATGAAGACAAATCAATACATCTGCACGCTTCCGATTTCAAAATATCAGCAACAAAATCGAAATGTAGCTAATCAATTGCAAATGCAACTGATACCTTGTGAAATGTGGACAAACATCAAGAAAGCTCGTTATCTCCTGACTCTGTGTGAAACACTGTCATACAAGGGATGCACAGCTGACAAGCCGGTGCCTCCAACCAACAAACACTAGTGCTAACTACTGTCAATTAGTATACATGACACAAGCTAGCTGAAACACAGCGGTATTTGACCACAGTTTTACATGGGAGGCATAGATGAACCAGGCCGTTGACGATATATCTGTGATTTGGGCCTGGGTACTGTCTTGGGATCAAACGGAGCCCGGAGCTGTGGCCTAGCGGAAGAGCTGTTTTCATACGAGGACGTCCTCACTGAAGAAAAGGTGCCTCTTTGGAAGAAACAACATCGTTTCCAGTGCTTCCTTACCTCGGGCTGACGGACACCGTACAACATAAAGATGAAATAACCCTGCAGGGTGTTCAGTAGACAGAAGACCAGCTGTACGGGGAAGGACACGGCCTGGACAAGATTCAGGTAACCGATTGACCAGGTCAGTCCCATCAGGGTCATTACGGTCAGCGCATTCTGGAGACGCTGCTTGTGTACCTTCCGTCTGGACAGGTCCTTGGTGTTTCTTCGGATGTTGTCATTTGACGTCTTGACAAATTGCCGGATTACCAGCGAGAAGATGACAATGTTGAATAGCAGAATCAGGCCAATTGGAGCAAGGAGACTAGCTATCAGTGGAGTTTGCTTCAAGAAGCAACTGTAACATGAAGCAACACCACATGCAAATTAAAAGTGAAGAAATTACACTGGGTTAAAAACACAGGAAAAACATCAAACATTTTTTAAACACAAAATTATTAAACTAATTAAAAAAATAATAAATAATTAATATTTATTATTTCAAAAATATTAAACTCCAAACAAACTGAAAGCAGCTTACAAGTCCGTTGCAACATAATCCTCGCGGGTGACTCCAGCAGTAATTGCCACAACCAAGACAGGAAGACCTGAAAAAATGACACCCAAGCAAAATGCTGGGAAGCTTTCTTTAACAGCTCGAAAATGATTTACAATCTCTGTAAAGTTAAGCCAAATATCCACTGAGTTTGGGAGTAGGAGGTGCATCTTTGCGAGGCGACAACGGTCCTTGGGTGGGATCTCACTGCGTGTATGTCAAGATTCACGCTTGTTTGGCACAGGCTGGGCTTAGTATGCGCAGCTAATTTTAGTCAGAATGTACGGTGTTTGCATACGTGCTGGGTGCCTAGTTGCAACAGTTTCCACCAACCTTTCTCTTCTTGGCCAGCGAGGGGGTACCTCTAGTCAGAATGCTACAAATCATGAATTGACAATGGGCAAAGTGAAGCTACAGCAACACCGTCACTTTCCTCTTAGAAAGACCAACTCATGTTTTTTCCTGACAAACTTAATGGAGTTGCACTGAGAGATTTTCATTTTTCACCAGTCTGGCTTTTATCCTACATTTTGGGACTGACTACTCACCCCAGGCAGCCAGTGATGCCTTCAGCATGAATTTTGGCACGTAGACGTTGACAACTTTGACAAACAGCAGATACAGATTGCATCCTTCCACGCCCATCCAACAGAGTGAAGTCAATGTGAAGTAATGCAGGAAGGCAGCTAAGATACAGCAGGGCAACACGTCCAACTCGGCAACGCCTCGCTCTGAGTCTAGAGCCGTAGCAACCACAAAGGTGATGTACAGACACAGTAGAGAGAAACAGAGGCTTAGCAGGATGCGGTTGGGACGCTTCTCACGAAGTTTCCTGCGAGCATCAAAAGAGATTGTATTCAGTTCCAAATACAGCCCGACTGATACAACCATTAAATACAATTTATAATTCATAACACAATCCTCACATGTGACTGAGGTAAGTAACCATGGTAACGGCCAGCCCCAAGATAGACATTCCACATCCAACAAGACTCAACAATTTGAGTATGAACTCCTGTGTCTCAGTCAAAGGTGACTCTGGGTAGATGTCCTGTCCAGAAAAAAAAAGAAATGATGATTTGATAATGATCCTTAGATAACTTACTGATGGCGAACAGTCACAGTGATATCGTCACAGAAGTAAAACACAGAGCTACCAGCTGAATTTGGCACCTGCTACACATACGCTGCTTGAATGGAGCTTACCATCAGAGCTGCAAAGTTGGTCAAGTGATCACACTGACAAGCAATGTGTTGATCTGTTGGGTAATGTTCACGTATGCGACAGCCCTCAGTCGACCAGTCTCCCTCAACTGTGTCCCAAAACACACAACTTGTGTTGGTCACATAGGAATCATTCTGTGGTAAAAGAAAAGGGGGAAAAACTTCAGTTATTGCCCAAATGTTTCAATTTGGAGATATTGTGACTCTCTTTTATTAGTGAACCCAACAAACTTGGTAGCTTGTTGCTAGGGTGAAATTTCTATTTAAGATGCCAAGCATTCTGTTCAAGGGGCACTTTTTAAGAAACTGTAACTTGTGCATGGATTGTAAAATTTCTGGAATCTCAAACTTTGGGGGGTGGCATTGGGCAGCACTGACCTCTGAAGGGGGGCGGGGGGAACGTTCCCCCCATAGTTTTGCCACTTCACAAACTCTGCACAATAGCAAACCTACTCTTCACCTACTGGCGCAGTTGAAAAGCCTTTGTAACAATGTTACAAGTAAGAGGCAAATTGATTTACTTGAACGTTAATTACACTTTCAAAACAGGAAAAAAATACCCCAAGCAACAAATTTTGAATTTACGTCAATTCTGGTGAGTAGTATGGTGACGGGTTCATTCAGGTTTGTGATTGGTTGGCTGCCCACAGTGGCCGACATGATGCGAGTGTTGATGGTCCGGTTAAATCTGTCCTCTCTGTCGTTGAAGTCTGCCAGTGACAGCGACAGGAAGAGATTTCCTCTTCGGAAGACGGAGAAACTCACGCGGATGCCGCCGTCATTCCCGTCGCCTGAAAATCATCAATGCAGAGAGTGATCACTGATCCATTACCCTTTGGGTATGTTCTCATGGAAAGAACTTGAATGGGTGCTTATGGAAACACTACTGGTCACCAGGAAAGGCTGTCTCCAGAGAGGATTCATACTTACAAACGGTACGTGTATTCCTTAAGCACGACAGTTTTTTTGTTATTATTGATTTTTTTTTGTGTGTGTCAGCATATACACATGTACAACAACAAAGAGGAGGTTATTTTGTAGGTGAAAATGCGGCCTCTATGAGACAAACAATTGGACTTGCACCACATTGAGAATTGTTCTGGTTTTAATACATATGCAACATGCCACCTACGCCTTGCCAAGATGTTGACTTCAGGAGGCAGTATGAGTACAGCACTAGGCATTTCACTATCTTGATTTCCTTCAAACATTTCGTCTCCTTCCATCACCATCAAACTGGACTCTCCAAGCGCTTCCATCGATGAGGCATTTACTGATGTGAACCCCAGTCCACTCAGAAGGGTGGATTCAGACACACTGCGGACTTCCACGGCAATGTTGGGGTGGATTTCACGGAACGACATGTTGCTAGCAACCGGAACTGCAATAAGCTGTCGCTCTAAAATTTCGACAATTCTGCGTGGGGCCTGCGTCCTCATTTGGGCTTCCATTAAGGAATCCTCACTGGTATCCATGAGGTTACCCACAGTATCCACCACAGTAACTGTTACCTGGGAAACAAGGCAGACAAGAAGAAAATGACCCTAAGCAAGTTCACCCATACCTGTTTTACCTACAAAGTGTGGACATTCCTTTTTTTGTGTGGTAAAGGAAACTTGAGGAAAATGCTCCTTTTTCTCCCACTATGATAACTCCTTTGAGCTGGATTTTCGATGATGATTTCCTAGACTGTTCCTCTTACTTTCGCCACAGATAACCTTGACCCCAAAATGCCTCTGAAACTGTTTTTCAGAGAGCGGAAAACATTGTGTGAACGTGTGCGAGTCCACACAATGCCATCGCACCCTACATTATGTGGACTTCTTCGTGGAGAGGTACACACTATGTATGCCCCGCCTGCGCACATCATTTGACACAAAGTGCCAAGGAGGCAGATGACAAACTGTCAAGAGATTTACCTCAACATTATCTGAATTGACATCAGCAACCTTCTCCATGATATCAGCAGTTGATGCGACCCCTTCATCTGTCAGCATGGCTGCCTCTTCTGTCAGAGTTACAACTTGAGAGGCTACTTCCATCACGTTCTCCATAGTGACCGTCACCTATTGAAAGAAGTTGAGAAACACTCAATATCCTGTGAAGACTTTTAGAAGTTATATTGTTCTCTGACCATCAAAGAACTTTGTACCGATACACGATTTAAAAACAAATATTGTACCTACTTCAATACAGTAAACTTCACTCGGTCTGCTTGAGTCTTGCTAAGTACATGTTCTTGTATCAGGCACCAATTTTGAAACAGTTCCAACCAGCCTGTTGGAGGTTACCAAGTACAGAGTGGGACTGACCTGGTTCAGGAGAGCTAGCCTTTCATCGACAGTCAAATTCCGGCCGCACTGCACCTCAAAGACCCACTGCGCCAGAGAGAAGCCATCGCCAACACACACGGCAAACGCTATGCGCTGACCACCTAGCGAGGAACAATGGCAAATTCCAAGGTAAATGTAGAGATATCAGTAAACTGTGACAGGACACACTCAAACTAAGCACTGGTGACCATTCTGCTAGAGACCCTTTCCATGTGATGTCACCATCGTGCTGGACCACAATGTGTTGTGATGGTAATGGTGAATAGTGTTGTGATGGTAATCTACTTATTAAAGATAAACTAGTCAAGCATGCAGCGTTCGCACATGCACTTGCTCGTGGTTGAAGCTGCCCGTAGGAATATATGTGATCACCGTGGCTACGGCGGTCCACACATGGTGGTATTGTTTACAAAATAATGCAATTCAGTCACATGGTTGATAGAGGTCTATAGGCATGAGCGTGACAATAGATGGGTGTTTTTTCATAGAAACAACATCACATGGATAAGACACTCAGTGTGCACGCCTCAGCACAGGCCATTGTGAGCATGCTGAGACCATTTTCTGTTAATTGGCATGCACTGTCTTTGCCCGAGCACACAGAGCTCCCAGACGAAGTGGTCCATATCAGCCTCTCTCTTCTTTGCCAGTGAAGGCGTACAAATCAACACTGTGCAAATATACTTATGCAATTTGATCAGATGAAATCAAATTAGATCAGATCAGATCATATTGGATCAGATCAATTCAAATCACCTGAGATAATCTGAAATTTTAATCTATCATATATATATAAATGTCAGATATTTTATTTCCTGTTGCAATTACAAATTTCACAATGTGACATAAACATTCATTTAAAAGCCATTAAAAATCAATAAAATATAACACACAAAAAACACACATGCACAAGTAAACACCAATTTTGATTTCTAATAATCAACATCATCATGGAATTTGGTTTAGGTGGAATATGTTAAATTAGTTTTTCTCCCTCACACTTAGCACTTACTAGTCAAATAGTTATTCGAACAATCTTCAATCATCCAATTTCAATAGATTTTTTTTATACACTCTAAGGGGGTTAAATAAGGGAATAAGTATGTGCTTGGCCGGTCTTAAACGTGTTTAAGACCAGCTCAGGAGAACGGACGCAACTAATGCCCGAGCCGCAGGCAAGGGCATTAACATCTTAAACGGCAATGTCTTAAACAATAGTTTGAGACCGGCCAAGCACTTATGTATTCCCATTCATAAATACCTTTTGATTCAGAGAGTTAAAAGAAGTCAACATATGATGGATTTCCAATGATATTGTTCTAAAATTCATTTTCCCAAACACCCCCCGTCCATTTTATGGTATATTCCTTTTAAAGTTGTCCAGTAGAATCTCCTTGCATATTGTATACGAACTTGGCATGCGCGTGGCACATTCTGCATGTTGCATTGCATGCAGACTCATGACCAATGTGGATGGAATAAACTGTCTGGTACCCAAGTACCAAATGTTAACACACAGGCAGTCAAGTTGCACTATAGAAATCTTTTGGTTTTAACCTAACATCGAGTGCAGTTTTGTTCTCAGGAATATTGTGTACAATATTGTATTTTTGCAATAAATGTAAAATACACGGTGAATATTCAGCATTAGCTTCAGAGGTTGGCAACATACTATTTATGGTATAATCAGGACAGAGACGATCAGGGTTGGACTGTGTGGTCGAACCAAGAGCTCCAGCTGGGAAAGTAATGATACCATAGATCGATGACAAGCTCGATTCCACACAACTCCCTACAAAACAAAACAAACAATGTGATATGAACAGTTGTTATGTAAAGTCACCATCATCTGATTGGTGGATTGCAACAGCAGGCAACCGTTTTGATCAAAAAAACCCTGGTACGTCAGCACAGTGATGCTTCCATGATGCTGCTCTTTACACAAAATTTCAGACAATACTGACAAACACAATGCCCTTTCCTTTTCCAAACAGGAAATAGAATTTCAAGAATTTGCATGTACTGCTGATACTTTTAGCTCAAAGAATAAAAATCAAATTGCTGTCAAAGAAAGTATTAATAAGGAACTGATAGGACACACACAGGAACTGTGATTAGGAACTGGACGACCCATGGCATAATTGCAAATAAGCAGTTATCAATTGCAAAACTGAATTTTCCACATAAGTTGCCTCAGAACGGTCAGAGTGACAACCAAAAATTTCAAAAATGTTCAGGTGAGGTCTCTCCGCCCTGAGCTGAAGTGCACCCCCAATTGGCAAAAGAAAGACAGGTGGTTACAAGCGGGTTCTTGCATGCGTTCTGCGTGTACGCAAAGATCATGCATGCTGGAATAAATTAGTTAGGCGTGCTCAGCGTGCTCCACGTCAAACGTGCATATACTTGCACGGCTCATGGTGCACCTATGCGGTGAGTGCCAAAAAAACACGCCCTCTTTTGTTCCACTCAGAGTGGATAGAACCTTTAAAGAACAATTTCACATTTGAATCTGACAACTCTAGCTTGAACACCCTGGCTTCATCTCAGTGTTAACAAGATTCAGTGTCCTACCACTGCTCTCCATGGTGATAGATGACGGATCCATGAATCCACCAGAGGCTGTTGCTATAGCTACCAGGGCTTCCTTGACGACACCCAGTACCTCATTGTCAGATGGCATCGTCTCATCTTGAGTTAGGATTTCAGATGTTGCTAGTATACTGCCGCTGGCTAGCTCTTGAACGACAACGTTTGAGGGAACCCCTCTTGATTGCAAACCCTCAGCTTGCTGTTGTGAAAAACAGAGATGGGGGGAATAATTTGCCACAATAACAGACTGAAAAAGATATGGAAAGAGCTGATTTAACTGGCATAGACCAGAACATAGAAACCATTTATTAGGTGTTGCCTTAAGCTCAGGCTCCGGTCATGCGCATACGTTGTCTGTTGCCAATTGGCAAAATGTAGGCACTCCTCACAATTAAAACACATTCAACATGTCACTGGACAAGGTGCCAGTGTCCTAAGATTAGTCTCCACTCCACTCTGACAAGAAGTATGGTGTCAGTGAAATTATATCATTGCTTAAAGTTTTGTGAAATTGGCTGCTGTTCTTTCATTAATTCTTATTACTGCAATTGTGTCTCTCATCTGCCGGAATTCTATTTTTGTGTGTCACCCTGCGGTTTAAAGTATCTGTGGTGTGCTGGACAAATCTGGCTGTACTTACAAAGGTTGCAATTTCACCTGCTACATTTTGGAAACGCTGAGAGCTTTTATTTCTCAACTCCTCAACAAATGTCAGTGTCGGAAACCGGGTCTTCGCAGTGAATGCAAACACTCCTGGAAGATGACAGTGTGACGTAAAAATGTTCTTAAGAAAAAAAACATACCGTACAATTGATAAATGCAACCGGGCGTTGAAATGATACACAAAAACAGTTTCAAGGACTTCAAATCAACATGTGACAGACTGCCAGAAACATGCAATACAAAAAAGCATTGACACTTGAAGACACTTTTAGAAGTTGCATTGATTTAGGCTGAATGTTTTTTTCTACCTTCAATAAGAATCAAGGAGGAGTTTGTTCTCACTGTCACTCCCCCTAGGCCGAATCCCTCACACCAGTAGTACCCTCGATCAGAAGTGACTCCAGTGATCATGAGGAATGACAGGCCTGTCGAACCAGCCAGCCTCTGCCCATTTCTGTACCATGCAAAACTCGCTACGTTCTCAAATTGGCACTCTAGCGAGACAGTGTCGTACTGTGACACCAAGATGCGGCTGGGCTCAGGATGCTTCAGGACGGCTGCTGGACCTGTGCCAAAAAAGAATAAACCAAATTAAATGGAACTTGAAAATGAATCATGCTCTACAGAAACTATCTGTGGATCTAAAAATGACTATAATTTATGTTCAACACCATGGCATTCCAAAAACATACCGTGCCTTAAACAGACAATTGTAGTTTTGCAGGCCTAACAAGTGTTCATGTAAAATCAGTTACTTGTGTCACTGTTGCAAAGGCAGATCCAAATGTTTCTGGGGAAACCCAAATATTTTTATGCAACCATCTTTCTGAGGGTTGGAGCAAATTGTTTGGATTTTGAAACATTTTGGAAAGAAGGGGAAACAAAGTACAACCCAACCATTTCATTAATATACTCATTATATTGCAAAAACAAAAAAACATGTGCCCCTTTTGGAAGACCCCTTGGATCTGCCAATCACTTTGGAATTCATTGTTTTTTATTCAAACTGATGAATGAGAGTTTTATTCAATGCAAGACTGTAGTAGCTGGGAGTGATCAAATTCAACTTAAGCCAAAGCTAACAAACTCCACAATATACATAATGGAACATGAAGATGAGAGATGGAAACAAATTCTTCAAACATACAGCTTCTGAGGAAATGTCAGAAGTATGCATCGTTTTCATCCATGACTATAACAGCATACCTTGAGGTACGGCGCTGATTCCACAACTGACGCCTGTAAAGTCTTGTGTACACTCGCACTCATAGCTACCACTTCCTAATGACGACGTACAACGACCTTGATTCAAGCAAGGTCCACTCTCACAGAGGTCAAATGCTGCAGGAAGATAAACGCAGATTTCTAAGACGCAAAGTCATATTCGTCTGCACCTTCACCACACACAATAGCCTTGCCGAGTGTACCCACGTGTGAAACATGGTTGCCTACAGTCTCATCTCTGAGCGCAGTTTTAATGGTACATTCTTTTGGGAATAAAATCTTTACTCATACTGCACCATCATCAGTGGGTGACCTTTAACTTCCGCAAACTCCAACTGGACAGTATGGGCTTCCATGATTTACATGCATTGACTGTGGCATTTCCCACCAATCAATAGCATTTGATAGATATAGGATGGTCAGTATGGGCAAAAATTCTAAATTAACTTACGCGTACAGACTTTGCCATCACCACGGTAACCTTGTGCTTCCAAGCACATGCAGCGGTAGGAACCAGCCACATTGATGCAGGTAGCATTGCCATGGCAATCGTATAACGCTTCATCCTGGCATTCGTCAATATCCATGCAGAATTTAAAACTGGATTGGGATTGGCTGGTCAGTGTGTAGCCATCTTGGCAGTGACACTGGAATGAGCCGTAAGTGTTGTTACAAGCAGCCAGTGCAGGACATGCTGGGTCAGAGGTCTGACATTCATCCACATCTGTAAATAAAAAACATTAGATTTCATTGGCCCTGGGGCGTAGCAACGGGGGAAGACCCCCCCCCCCACAATAATTAATTCCAGTTCAGTGGCAAGCATGAAATGTAGCGTACCATGGCACAAATTTTACACAACACGAGGTTAGCAACAAGTTACAAGTCAGCAAATTGACTCTGGCACACCACCCCAATCTTCCCAAAGAAAATGCCTTTGCTATGCCACTGCTGGCCCTGCTTGTAAAACAACAAAAGATGCCAGCCGCATATCAGGTGGTTAAACAAAGTGAAAGGCAGATATCTACCAGGTCACACATACAGCTGGCCACATTTGGGCCACACAGCAGTGCAGGCAGCTGTCATGAGTCATACGGCCAACCATGTAGCCATAGCCATATCCGCACAGCCAGCCAGTAGTTAACTACTATACAGCCAGACAACTCAGTAGACAGACAGCCACAGTTAAAACCCCCATTATGATACTGGATTAGAGGAATCCAAAAGAAAGAGACAAAATTGATTGCTACCTGCGCACTGAGTTCCATTCCATGCAAAACCTTCCGGGCAGATACAAGTGAAGCTTCCTATCGTGTTCTGACAAGGCAACATTGACGGACAGATTGGAGTCCCCTGTGCACACTCATCAACATCTTCAAAGAAAGCGACAGCAAAATAATATTGTGATGCATAGTTCCTTTTTTACTAATGTAAGTTCATTAGACCAAGGTACATCTATAATCTGATGACAGCCAAATGTATTTCCTGAGAATAATTTTGCAACTTATAGCTAGCATTCATTAATGTGCTGTAGAAATGTGTTTTACCTGTTTTATTTTTCCACACTTTTAGGATATTTAAAGGCTACTGGACACTTAACAACTGCAAAGACAGAGTTTCTAACAAAAGACAATAATTCCTGGATAACTTTAAGTTTTTCTCCCTTTTATCAAAGTGCATTTGGATAGGATCACTGTTGAATAAGTGGCTGGAAATTTAGAAGACCGCAACTTCCTTTAAGTTTCATTTCAATATGAAGAGTTCAGTGGAAAGACTTGAATTGTTACCATCACAAGAAGTTCCATTCCAGAAATATCCACTGGGGCATAAACAGGTGAAACCTCCTGGCTGGTTGACGCAAGTTGCTTCATCAGAACACGGCATATCTAAACATTCATCCACATCTGGTAAAAGTGAAGGAGAAAAGTGGTATCCATGTGAGCAAACATTTACGTGTTGTAGAAAGGTGAGGCATGATGAGGACTAGCAAATCAAAACAAAACAATTTCCGATCCACTGAACGAAATCCGGCCATGCCAGCAATCGGGGAGAATTGTTGTTTTTGTTCCAGTAAATCTTGATTGATTTATAAACTCAAGACACAAATCTTGACTGGATACATAAAAAAGTAATAGTTTTTGTGGCATAATCTTGATTGCATGGATGAGTGAGACTGCCCTCTATGTTCTGACAAGAAACCAGTTCCTGCCATCCCAGGCGTAGTCTTTGATTGTAGACAGGTGAAACTGCCCGCTGTCTTCTGACAAGGAATCAAGTCAGGCCAGAAGGGATGTGAACCTGCAATCCCAGGCATAGTCCTTGATTGCACTGACAGGTGAAACTGCCCACTGTGTTCTGACAAGGAATCGAGTCAGACCAGAAGGGATGTGAACCTACCTGAACAGTTCCTGCCATCCCAGGCATAGCCTTGATTGCACAGACAGGTGAAACTACCCACTGTGTTCCGACAAGGTACCAACTCGGGGCATGGAGGTTTATCAGCCAGGCATTCATCCATATCTAAGGATTGTGAAACAAATTCATGCTTAAAATTAGTTCATATCAATGCAGGGAAGGGCCTATCTACCACAAGAGATCAGTTTGATACAATTGATATTATGCAATGAGCAATGAGTCTCCAAAAACTTTATTTTAGGGGAAAATTTGAAAAGCCATGAAAAATCTCTACAAACTTCCAAAGAGTAAAATCCAATCAATAATTTTTTCTATTTCAAATGTAGGATTGCAACAGGCATGTTGAAATTTCCAGCAAACCAGAAGAGGCCTCCATGAACACAATACATTATGTCATCTAAACTTTGCAAAAAGCCTGTAATCAAACTATTGTGAAAGGAAATACATGTACATGTTTATCTCTGCAAATTAAACAACTTGTTTGGTTCTCACCGATGCACTGTGATGAATTCCACTCATACCCACTCGGACAGGTGCACGCAAAGCCACCTATGCTGTTAATGCAAGGACGGTTGGTGGGCGGACACGACGATATCTCTTCACACTCATTCACGTCTGGACAAAAAAAACAACCTACTTGAGAACAATTCAACATCTGAAACGGGTCAAGGGTGAAAAAAACTTTCTGCCTGCTCCATCTGATCTACAACATAATTCTTTAATACTTCAACTTCTATTCAATATTTGTGTTCTACTCCTGACTGCTGTGATGTGTGGCACTGATAGTTTTTGTGCCCCGAAAGTTTTATTCTACTCCTGACTGCTGTGATGTGTGGCACTGATGGTTTTTTGTGCCCAGAAAGATGCAAAGGCAAAAAAACAAAGAAATAATATTAAAAAAGTGAGTCAAAAAGATCGACAAAGGTTGTGAATCACTCTGTAAATTGTAAGGTGATCTTTGACTGCTATGAACTTTCCTGTAATACATAATTCACCCCGTATGACGTAACATCCATCTCTATGGTTGACTTGGCAAATGACCACCATAAACAAAAAAAATATCACAGAAACAAATTAAAAGCAAACTGCTCGGTTTAGAATGTTCCACAGTAGAATGGAAAGAGCAAAGGTGAACCTTTTTTAGGACATACCATTGCACTGACTGCCATCAAAGACAAATCCTGATTGACATACACAGGTGAAGGAGCCTTTAAGATTCTGACAAGGCAGTGACGATGGACAGACAGACTCTTGTGTAGAACACTCATCTATGTCTGATTAATGAAAGAAAATAGTGAAACAATTTCTCAAAGCAAACACAAAACAGTCAAGAGATCTAGACGGCTATGATCAGATCATTGAAAAGGGCTAAACCTACTTTTGGACCAGTTTTTTAAGAACTGTTTGCAGGGTACATTACAGAATCTTAATAATTTCCCAAAAATTACAAGACCGGTTACTTTACTAAAGAAATTTAAGAGCACATTTCTCATTTGCTAAATTGAAAGTTACATTATGGGAATTTTATGGCAGCTCACACTCCAGCAGAAAAGTTAAATAAAAGGGAGAATAAAACTTCTGGCAGGAAAAGTTTCTTTAGTGAGAGGAAAAGAGGTTTTCCATCAAGTTGTGGTGTTTCTTACCAATGCAGTGTGTGGTGTTCCAGGTATAACCGTCAGGGCATACACAGATGAAACTTCCAGGCTGATTCATGCAATCAGCACCAGATGGACATGGTGAATCCAAACACTCATCAATATCTGGGGAGAGTACAACAGTAAGGAAAATTTCGAATTCTGCAAAATAAGCAAAACGTTTGAGAAAATGTCAAACCTTTTCTTCGGTGATGGGGAATTTTTGATGTCTTACCAATGCAATAAAATTAAGTGGTGCTGGAAACTATTTTTCTGACAGAAATTCTAAAAAAGACCACAGCAAACTGTTTTCAATGGAGTACCTAATAATACAGGAGACTGGAGCACAGATTTTTTAATCACTCTTTTATTGCAAGTCACACGTCAGTGTTTGCCGGTTAATGCTTGTGACTGTCTACAAGTCTGGTTGACTAGTGATTGGCAGATGATTAACTCTTCATAGGCAAGCAACCAATTTGTGTTCGGCCAGTAATTGATTGGGAATGTCTGATGATTGGATGAGGACTGACTTGTGATTACCTTCTAGCTGACTTTTGTTTGGCTAGAGACTGGCAAGTTATTGACTTCCAGTGGAGGTCGTTGAGGGCACTTGGTGGCGACAGAGGAAGCAGTCTTTTGAGCCACTTCTGGGGATATGCCTTCACTTCTGAGCGTGTGCGGTAGTTGGGGGGCACGCACAACTGAGAAATGCAGCTCGAGAGGATTGATGATGAGAAGGGTTCAGAAGCCCTCTGGATGTCACACTCTGACTCACCTGTTGTGCAGCTCTTATCTGTGTATCCTGATGCACATGTGCAGATGTAGTCATTGACATCGTCAGTACACGTTCCTCCATTTGCACAACGGTTAGGGTTGCAATCATCAATGTCTAGAAAAGGAAACAAATTCAATACAACAGATTACAAATACGAACCTATTTTCAAACAAAGTGACACTTCGAGGTTAAAAGAGAAAACTAAAGGGAAAAAATACTCGTTGTACAGTTGGTATCAGTGTATCCTGGTGGACATGTGCATGTGTAGTTACTGACGCCATCAAAACAGAATTACTCCATTCGTACAAGGGTTGGGATTACAATCATCAATATCTAACTACTACAAAGTTTTAGATCCTTGTTGACTTTAATCTTATGATGATGTGAAAACACCATTTCTGTTACACTTTGAAGACCAAAGAATCAACAAAAAGGAGTACATAACCGTAAAAGGGAAGCAATGCAGGGTTAAACACGAACTTGATTTAAATCAATCAAAAGATTCTTCAATTTATCGTTACTAATAGAACGTTACCTGTTGTGCAATTGGTATCTGTGTATCCTGGTGCACATGTGCATGTGTAGTTATTGACACCATCAGAACACATTCCTCTATTCATGCAAGGGTTGGGATCGCAATCATCAATGTCTTAAAACAAAAACAAAGATGACAATAATTATTTCCATCCAACCTGCTAATGAACTTGAGAAAGTCAACCAAAAGACCCTACAAATTCCAATAATATTTTTTTGGGAGCAACCTTTTATTACTTTTAGAGATTATATGTTCCAGAGATGATATCCTCCATAAAACAAGAGAGCCATGTAATTTTAATATCTATCCAATCTACGTCAATGCAATTGATTCTTGAATTGTTTTCTCATTAATAATAGAAAACTTACCTGTGGAACAGTTGGTATCAGTGTATCCAGGTGCACATTCGCATGTGTAGTTATTGACACCATCAGAACACATTCCTCCATTCAAGCAAGGGTCCGGATCGCAATCGTCAATGTCTTCCAACAAAACAAAGATGACAATAATTACTTCGATCCAAACTCCTAATGAATTTGAGAAAAGTCAACAAAACAAACACACAAATTCCAACATGAATTTTTGGGAGCCACTTTTTCAGTCAACGTTTAGAGAATATATGATCCAGAGATGATATCTTGCATAAAACAAACATACAAACCTGACAAGAGAGCAATGTAATTTTAATATCTATTCAATCTACGTCAATATAATTGTTTCATAAATTGTTTTCTCATTAATGAT